TTGGCTTCATGAGCTTCACAAATATATAGCCTTATAAGTCCTTCCCTTGGACCCTCGCCCACAGGTTAAGAAACCGACTTTCACTTGCACATTTCACATTCCAAATATTTTAGTGCCAGTACACCATAGAACTGGACTTGCACGAGCCTATAGTCTGCGCAGATAGTGTTGGGTATCGAAACTCTGTTTCAAGTAGGCATCGACCGAAAAGGCCCGGTAAGTACTGGTAAGTACTAAAAAACTGGTATTAAAAAAAACAAAAGTTCGCTCGGTGCCCACTTTCGGTCCCTTTCATTAAATGCCCGCGTCAATAAGCCAACACACACTTTAATTTCACTTCAATTTATCAGTAGTGCAGGTGTTCACGCGTCAGTACTGCGCTCTGCGCAAATGTACTGCACAAACAGCGCTCATGTTCAACATGTTGAGCATGTCCTACATGTGTCCAAACTAAGTGCAGTGTGTCTTTTACCGGTAAAACAGATGAGCTGAAGAAACAAGGTGCAGCGTGAAACTTGTATCCACCCGAAAACACCCAGTCTCCAGTGTGGGGCGTTTATAGAGTCTCAAAGCCAAAGTGCGTAATAATAAATCCACAGCCTGCAGTGTCCGTGTCAAATTTAAGCCAAACATAATATTAACCAAAACTCCGCAAAAACCCTGCTCCTCATTGGTAAATATATCCAGCGTGGAGCGCGTGTGCGTAAAGATGTATCCAAACGAATCTGCCTAAAGTTCTCCATAATTCTCCTCCGTCCTCCTCCGAGTAGCAAAAGCGTAAAGTTATTAATCAAAGTAAGAGCACATGCTCCATGCGCTGCCTTTTATATAAAGTGCAGAAAACGAGAAACAAAAGCGAAACTTAAGCGCAGGTCAGTCTTCGTGACAATCAGTTGTGCGTTTATTTGCGTGCGCATTTGGAGTTATACCTGAACCGTGTATAGTAGCCTACTCTGTTTTAAAATATGAATTAACATAGATATAAAGTTATTCAATGACTGAAAAGTATTTTCTTAATAATATTTGGCCATTAATTTGCATAAAAACATAAATTGTAACTATACCCTTTGCGCACTTATAAAGAAAACAACTACATATCTCGGTCCTCTACTGTGGAGTTAGTTTGGACTGCTTAAATTTAGGTCCTTGTTCGCGCTTCTCGTCGCTGCGTAATAGGTTAAGAAAAACACGGGATTTACGCGCGTGGCACTGGAGCGACGCACTGGAGGCGCACAGGTAGGACTGTTCTCTATGAATGGATCTCAGTACGATGTGGGACTGTGCACGTACAGGGCTCCATGAGGACTGAAGTAGAGAAGCGGGTTTAATGTCACGCGGCGTGGTCCTCCGGTGACACACGCCCCGCTCACAGAGCGCACGTATCGCTTGGAGACGCCCCGGTACCGTCCCAGTGAATGTTATTCCCAAAAGCACGGGCTATAATAATAACCTATGCATTTTAACTAATTACTGAGATTAGTGAGTAGGCTTGATAAATATATGGCAAATTTTTGGAGTTGGGTTTAGCCCTGAGTTCGCTTTTCATTCCGACGCGTCATGAAGTTTCCTACATATGTGAGATGTGACGGTAGAATGAGAGACAAAACAAAAGGGGTGGAGTGGCGCGGTCCGCACTAAGGGACATTTTTGATTGACTGGGCAAAGATTGTGGTGCAGGAGGCAGCGTAATACTACGTCCGTTTTATTTAAGATGCCTACAGTCAGTGGGAAAGACAAAACATTGACTGTGATGCGCACAGCAGCGCGCATGAAGTGAGCACTTGTCACCGCGGCCGTTTTTCGTGGCAGTTCAAAAGGTTGGACTTATCTGTTCCTTTCACGGAAATGAAAAAAATGCGTTATGAACGGACAACCCGTCGCTTTGTTTATCAACCAAATAAATAGTTATTACTGGGGGACTAGATTTGTGTCGCTTTATTTTCACTTGCCCGCTCGGGCAACTAGGCAGAGGAGAGTACTTGCCCGGACAAAAGTTTTAGTTGCCCCGGACCAGCGGACAACCGTTAATGTCGAGCCCAGAAATGTATGAAACATTATAAAAAAAACTAAATTCCTTGTAAACAGTAATCAAAACTTTTTAAAAAGTAAAGCGCAGCCCTAACAGTTCAAGGATGAAGTTTTACTCAATCTTCATATTTTTGGCCAGAAAAATCAACTTGTCCATATTGTCTGTGGTGAGTGCAGATCTGCTGCAGTTACAACCACCTTGTGATGTCATGTAGTGGTAATTTTCAAGTTAACTGCTGCCCTTTACCTTTTGTTCAGTAGAGATTAGCAATTCCAGGGCTGAAATGATCCAAATGATTCTATTGAAGGTGTGTGGAGTTTAAGAAACACAATGGAGCACTTCCTGTATCACCACATGACATCACAATTTGTTATCTGAATCAGTATTGAGTATTAAATCTACTTCTTTGTACAGAAATCGCGTTCGAAATGTTAATATCGTGACAAGACTAGTGGCAGGTTTAAATTTAGAGACTTTTTCTTCTTAGGACCTGCTCACTGATCAACCAAACCCTCTGAAATATTATAGAAAGTGTCTATGTGACATAATTCAGCGTAGTAAAGGTATTTTCTGGCTGTTGCTTTGCGGTTACACATTCTCACAAACTCCTCTGTAGACTTTGATGGCGAGCTGGAGGTAATTGTAAACGGCAGACACTTTGTTATTGCTGCACCTTCATCTCAAAGAGGAGCTCCACAGGCAAAGCACATGAAAGGAAATGGTTTCATAAAGGCCATCTAAACACTCAAACAGGGTGAAGCGCGCGCTCAGGACTTGACAAAACATATTATTATTCAAAAAGGAGGTCTGGTCTAACTGTAGTGATATCAAGGAGGTTTTTGTTTGTTCTTTTTTCCTCAGTTTGATTTGATTTTGCTTTTGTGTGGAGTTTGCATGTTCTCTGTGGGTTTCCTAAGGGCGCTCTGGTCTTCCCCATCAACCCAAAACATGAACAGTAGGTCAGATCCTCCAGTTAAGGTAGTCCTGACCAAGACTATAGATCAGGCTTGCCCAAACTATGGTCCAAATGCGGCCATCAGTCCAATTTTTCTTGGCCCATGGGTCCGGTCAAGTGGTAACGGAGGGAAACTGGGGCAGATGTTTTACATTCAAATAGCTCTTATTCACAAACTATTAACACTCCAACAGGGTAAATTTAACCCTGTGATATTCTTTCAAGTTGTTGACAAAAAATTTAAAAACTCATGTCGGTAACGGAGGGAATGAAATATGCAGCACTTTTTGAGCAATAAATACAAACAGTGATAACTACCAGTTCTCACTTACATATCCTTAACAAACTGGTTTGAATATTTGCTTCATATAGTTTTCTACCATATGGTCTGATTAGGTTGAAAAACCTCTTACTTTTTGAGTAATGAGATTTTTTATTAAGAAAGGTCATGGTAACGGAGGGAAAAGTAACGGAGGGAAAATTGTGCAAGCAAGTAGAAGGTGCATGATTTTGCATAATTTGAGTCAGTTTTTTTCTTCTGAATACTTTAATAGTACTTCAAAATGAAAGGAAACTATTTCTATAAAATATGTCAGTCCTTCCAAGCTAATTTTTATCATTTTAAATACATAAAAAAAAAAAAAAATCATGTACCTTCATCAACAGTTCAAAGATGGAATAACACAAGATATGATGAAATACATCCATTTATTTACATGATTTGCAGGTCTTTGAAATTTGGGAAATAATTTTTGTTCCATGTTTCATACATGGTCTGTTTAAAACGTATGTAACTTTAGAACCAAAAATGGTCCAGAAAAAAGTACACAGTTTCATAAACTAGAGTACATATGTATCTGTTGAATATATTTTTATATCAGATGCATTAACTTGAATTTTTGGCCTTGCTGTTTACTTCTGCTTGACCAGGCCCCCATATTACCTGGTTTAAGCAGTACTTTTTACTGCAGAACCAGTATTAAAGGGCTCATATTATAAATACCTCAAAAACATACCTGAAGTTGTGCTTTGTTTCATCACACATGTTGGAGAAATTCCTTATTATTAGTCTGTTTACATCTCCAAAGCTTGAAATTTTTATATACCTGGAGTTGCATTTTGTTTCATTCACAAATGTTTAACACATAAACTTTGCATATTTAGGCTGAGTTATTTTCTCAAACTGGAGACACTCTGTTCCACCTGGTGATGTCATGCAGCAATAAGTGCTCCACTGTGTTTTTAAACTCCATGCATCTTCACTAGAATCATTTGGATAATTTCAACTCCAGAATTGCCAATCTCTTCTGACCTAAAGGTTCAAAAGTAACTGTTAACTTGAAAACTCCCACTACATGACATCACAAGGTGCAACAAAGCATTTTAAGCTTTGAAGATGTAGACAGACTAATAATAAAGTGTTACTCAAACATGTGGAAATAAAACAAAACACAACTTCAGGTATGTTTTCGATGAGGTAACAACATTATAACAAGGCTTAACGCTCACAAGAGTCAATTTTGCATAATATAAATGTTAATAAATAATTAACATTAACCAAAAAAATGTCAACTGTTATTTAGCTGATTACTGGTGCAAATACATAAATGTAATATCTACAAAACATATGGAAAAACATATTGAATTCATAAAAGTATACAGGCTCTAACTGGTATTGGGTGCAAGTGAAATGATTATGGCCCATATGCAGTTATTGGTTTGAATTATGCACAAAATATTTGGATATTTCTATTTCCTGCCCCATCTACTGATTAATTTGCACTTTCCACAACCTAAAAATGTCATATTGTTAACTTTCTGTAAAATTTTAACACATTGTAAAAAATAATAACGTTCTTGTGATGTTGGGAGTAACAAAATCTAAAGTGTGGATAGTTTGTTTTAAAGGACCCATATTACGCTATATTCTGATCTGTTATAATGTTGTTTCTTCATCACAAACATATATGGAGTTGTGTTTTGTTTCATTCACACAATTGTATTTGTGTTTCCCAGTGCTAAAGCAGAGGAGACGAAGGAGGAAGCCGAGAGCAAACCTGATGGAGGAGAGGAACGCGAGGAGAACGGAAAGGTGAATAATTATTTCTCACAGTTTATTAAGATCCAGTGGAATTTGATCTGGTATTTTGCTTTGATTAGCTAAATACCTGAACTTCTTAAATTCAGACTTCCATTTTTTTTCATACCATAATTTTGAATCTGATGTAGTAGTAACTTTAGCTTAATTAAAAACCAAAACAATTCCCATTTTTTTAATTGTCCAAGTTGCTAAAAGCTTTTGTTGACATTATAACAAAGATTTGAAAAATAATCTGTCCTCTACCTTATATATGATTATTTATTTATTCATTTATTTATTAAAAGTCCTCTACCCAATTTGCCTTATATATTTGAGCGAAATCCATCTTGTCCCTGTCCAGATATATTTTATAAGCAGCTCTTTAGGTCCATTTGTGTCTTCATTTAATTAGTAAGCCTTTTATCGTCCGATTATCAGGAAGTGCGCTTTAGCATGCTAGTGAAAACCGCTTATAAAGTCATTGTTGTGAATAATTAGGATGTAAGTCAGGAATAACTTTTAAAGGAGCGTTTTTTTTTCTGTTGGAGAGTTCGTCAAATGTTTTTTTTTTTTTTTTCCGTGGTGATGTTATTCCTTTGTCTGGAATGTTTCACAATGTGGCATTAAACCATTCTATCTTCATGGAGACCAAACTAGACCAAGTTACAAGTCAGATTTGCGGAGAGGCAACTCATTTCACAGTCAGAATGTCTGTTTTTCAAGGTATTTTTGAGCCATGAAACCACCTGTAATTGAATAAATGTAAGGTAGATCTGTTTAATGTCATACCGTGGAACATTCCAGGCAGAGCAGTGACATCTCCATAGACTTTAATATACTTTATTTGATTTCGTTTGTCTGTTTACATTCATCTCCGGCTGTGTCCTTGTCTATTTCTACCGAGACTATTTATAAAACCGTGTTGGCACAGTATGAGACGGACAGACAGAGGGCAAAGGTCAGAGTTTATTACCAACCAGAACGGTAACAGTGACAAGTGAGGAAGGGGGAGTTTCTAATATTTATAGCTCCGTATCGTCCTCAAACATCACAGACTACACATGTGATTTTCTCAGATATTTCTCAGATTTTGCCTATGAATTTGTGCTAAAATAATGATGATTTAATATATAAAATTATGCTTTCCCTTGATAATAATCATAAGAGACACATTAAAGAGGCTGTATCCAATTACATCATATAATAATAATAACGCTATATTTGTTTTTCCCCAGTACAGACAGTGTTGTGCAAGTTCACACTTTTCATGAACTAGTTCAAAGTTCAGTTCACACTTGTTCAAAATGAATAGTTCACGTTCATAGTTCACAATTTTAATTTTGAACTAGTTCAAAGTTCAGTTCATTTTATATTTAGGTGAGATCTGTAAATGAAAGGCTGCATTTATTTTAGACTAAACCAGGTCTAAATCAGGACTGAACCAGGACTAAACCAGAACTGAACCAGGACTAAAAAAGAACTGAACCAGGACTGAACCAGGTCTAAACCAGGAATAAACCAAGACTAAACCAGGACTGAACCAAAATTGAACCAGGTCTAAACCAGGACTGAACCAGGTCTAAACCAGAACTGAACCAGGACTAAAAAAGAACTGAACCAGGACTGAACCAGGTCTAAACCAGGAATAAACCAAGACTAAACCAGGACTGAACCAAAATTGAACCAGGTCTAAACCAGGACTGAACCAGGTCTAAACCAGAACTGAACCAGGACTAAACCAGGACTAAACCAAGACTAAACCAGGACCAAACCAGGACTAATCCTGGACTAGAACTTGGAATCTAGGACCGCCCCTGAGAGAACCCCGAGTGCGATCGGGCGTCAGCTGCGTTTATCTCGGTGGAGCGCGGACTTCTGCGTCAGTCCTTTCGCTCAGGATCACGGTCTACGCAGGCGAACCTCCGGCGTTTCACCGCTGCTGATATCGCAGTGATTTTAGCAAATTTGTATGAAGAAAAACGAAAAACCCACCATTTCAATCCAGGTTAAAAAAGCATTGTGACGCGCGTTACTGACATATGTACCAAGTAAAATAATACGCGCGCGGAGCAGCACGTCCTGTGCGTGTAGATTTCAGAAAATAGGATCCATCCTATTTTTTGACGCTCTACACGAGCGTAGGCGCGTATCCCCGTCAAAATACACAGAGAGCATGTATCTGTTGTTGTATTTGTGCATTTACCATCAGCACATCGTGCTCCCTGGGCAGTTCTGTATCATGTGAAAGAGCCCAGATCCACATAGACTGTTAATTTGTGCTTTGAAATTAACTTTTGAAATCCTTGCGTTTGCCGTGGTCAGCCTGTACAGAAGGTAAAACAAGCAGCTAAACGCGCCCAATCAAGTTCCCATTGAGAGACACAAGAGCCCGTATGTTCCGCTAAAGCTGCCGGTGGAGTCGCCTTCGCGTTGACGCGCGGCTGTGGTTTCGCGAGGTGAAGTGCGAGCAGATCGTCACTCGTCAAATTCCGACGTTTAACTGAACCCCAACAGTGACGCACGTCGTTCATCACACATAATTTGAACAAATTCACGTTCAAGTTCTTGATTTACAAAAGTGTTGCGTTCAGTTCAAAGTTCACTGAAAAATGAACGTGTTCAATGAACGCGCTCTTTTGAACTCGTTCATGCACAACACTGAGTACAGATATATTGTAAAAGCATCTCTTAGGGTCAAAATGAGATCTCTGTGTGTTGTCTACATCTAATTATAAGTTCTGTTTATCCTCTGTGAACCAGTAAGTGCACTGTTAACACTTTTAAACTCATTGCAGAGGATAATTAGTTAGTAATGCATTAGGAAAGTGTGGAATAAGTTTGGATGTATTAGTGTTCTCCATTACTAGAAGAGACAACGGTTGCCCCCCATATTTTTAAATTCTCCCACATCGTCTAAAAAGAACATGGGCTAGAAAGACTTCACAAAATCGCACTTTGCTGCTTTATACATAACAAAAAGCAACTACAGTGTTACTGCTAAAATATTAAATACAGGACATTTCTTGGACTTTTCCATTTATTATTTATTTATTTATATGTTTGGGAGTGAGAAACACAATTTCAATTCTTTATATGTTTCGTTAGCCACCTAGTACCTCCGCTCAATTTAATTTCTCTCCAGCGACTAGGTCAGGAATCGGAATACACTAGACGGTTCACAAAAACCCCGGAAGTGCGATGTCGGGCACCAGCCAATCAGCGAAGAGCCATATATCCTATTTTGGCAATGATTCCCGAGATCGAGGATTTGAAGCCGGAACAAAGAGAATGTTTGGTGAATTTTATCAAGAGGAAAGATGTTATTGCCTTTCTTCCTACGGGATTTGGGAAAAGTTTAATATACCAGTTATCGGTGCATTACATACGTCACAACCAAACAGCAGTGATTGGTTAAATAAAAAAAGGACCCACCTACCGTCGAGCGAACGAATCTTAATCCTGTGAGACCAGACTGATGATTTAGGCTAATGTTTTGTATGAAGAATTGACAATACATTTTTTTTTATTTGAATTTGATAAGTGGCATTTAACCTCGCCGTATTTGTAATTTTCTTTCATACAATTTGTGACGTATTTCAGCCACCACAGTTTGAACCAACTATATGGGAATCATTGATATCCGCAAACAGTAGAACTAATTCTGTTTTTCAGTTTTTAAGACAGCAAAACATCAAGTACATCATCTTTAATAGCTACTATTTGCATGTTTCTCCCCGTGTCTGGATGGGTTTCCTCCGGGTGCTCCGGTTTCCCCCATCAACTCAAAACATGCTACAGGTCTCCAGAACAGTTGTTAGTCAAGGTCAATTAAATACAATCAATTCAATCATTGTTTGTCCTTAGGCAAGACACTTCACCCGCATTGCCTAGTATGAAAGTGGTGTGTGTGTGAGTGATGGTGGTGGTTGGAGGGACCGATGGCGCCGAGTGGCATGGCAGCCGTACTTCTGTCAGTGTGCCCCAGGGCAGCTGTGGTTACAATAGTAGCTCACCATCACCAGGGTATAGAGTGAAAGAATAATGCTGTATGAATGAATGCTGAATAATGCTCTGTAAAGCGTCTCTGGGGACAGAAAATGTCTGTGAAAGCGCTATATAAATAAAGACTTACTTACTTACTTACTTACTTACTTACTATTACGGGTTTCAGTGAATAACTCTTTTCCTTGTTGTGTCCAGGGAGGAGAGGAGACCTGCTCCAGTACGGATACCTCGGACAAACCTGACAGCACAGCCCCAGGTAACACGTTTATCTGCCGTGTTTATCACTTACTGTCACTGTTACTCCATTTATGTGCTGTACTGAGCTGACAAGGAGAGCCTCTGTGTACTTTATGAGCACCTTTACATTTGGTTTTTTGAGTCTTTAGACATTTCTTGACTCAGTTTAGTTCCTGGTGATCCTCCTCTTCTCTTTGTGGGCTGTACAACAGTTTAATCCATAAAACATATTCTCCTGACTGTGAACTTACCACGAACTCACAAACCTGAGTCATGACAAGTTGTAGCAGTGATGGATGTAATCTTATCTTGCTTTAAAGGAACTCTTTGTATCCTGCTCTTTTACAGTTATTAAACATTAACCTGGGTTTCCGGTGCCTTAACCTGCAGATAGATGACACATACAAGTCTTCCTCATTATCGTGATATGGGCAGGCCTCATGTGAAAGCTCAGAACCTCCAGAATTCACTCACTGCAGGTGTTGATGTTTATAGTGAACTTTCAGATCAGAGAGAGGCATTTTAAGTTTAAACCAACATTATAGCATTGAAACTGGCAACCCAAAGGAGACTAATATGAGGCTCATTCTGCTTTATGATTGGATAATTCTCTCAAGAACCAAAACAGCCAATTATATCAACAACTTGGAGATCATGTCCAATGTTTTTTTGTAATAAAAAATAAATCAGCACTACTATTGTTAACAGTAAGAGCTGTTTTTGCCATTATAGTAATCTCGCTAATCACTTGGACAGTAATCCAAGTCAGTTTACTCAGCACACTCCAAGACAGTTCATTTTCCACGGCGCTAAAATCTAAATGTGGTTGTGATTTTATTTTATTTTTTTTTTCTAGAACCTCCTCCTGTTCCAGACTCTCAGACCCCACTCTCCTTGGACCTCACTGCTCAGGACGCCACTCTTGTTACCACGACGACCACGGGGACCGGGATGGGCGTGGCCGCTCTCCAGCTGGTGCAGACACGCCCCCTCTGGCCCACTGGCCCCGCCCTCACGGCCCGTCTGAGGCGCCTGATCACGGCCTACCAAAGGTTCACCCTGCGCCGGGAGCCGATGCTGCGCCACGACTTCCTGCTGCATGATGGACTGGTCGCCATGGGGATCGGAGGAGGGGCGGGGCATCACGGGCCGTTGGCGTGGCAACTGGGAGAGGAGCTGCGGAGGTGTACGGTGGTGCCAACGGAAGCCGATCCGCTGTTCCTAGAGTGGCAGAGAAGGTAACTAAATATATCTGAAGTATTTCTGGACTATTGAGCGCACCTAAATATAAGCCGCATCAACTAAATTGTAAAAGAAAAGAAAAACTGTATAGGTCACACTTGTCTAAAAGCCGCAGGTGTCCACGTCTTCAAGAACCTTTTCAAGTTCAGGCCATCTGCTTTTATTGCCTCTGAAAGCTTTTGTCGTCTTCTTGCATTGAGTCACGCTGCGGTTGCCAACTTCTCACCATTGACTCATTGATGTCGAGTTCACATGCAGCAGATCTATTTCCTTCTTCCGCAGCCAGATCAATTGAACTTGAACTTAAAAGCTGGATCATCTACATTTCTTTGTGTGTTTTCCATGAGAAGGGTGGGTGCATGAAGCGCAAAATAACTTCAAAACACAATCAAACTTGAACCTTCCTTGGTGTATCACCTCTTCCACCTGTTTGTCTAACTCTTGTATTTCCCTGGAGGCCTTAGCCCGTAAAAATCTATAGAGCATTATCAGACTGCATCATTTGCACTCTACTGCGCATGTCTCCTGCAGGTATCATGTCAGTGACGTGTAGGATTTCAGTAGATTTCAGGCTCTCGTGGGGGCAGGGCTAGGTTAGTTGTATCAATCAGGTATGAGCGGATGTCCGGCTACTGAAGTTTGAGGCATTTCTTCTCGTCATTTACGTGCCCACCTGCATTTAACACATACGAGTTATTAAGATGTGTCCCATTCCTTAAAGGTTGTATGGAGGATTTTTTTTTGTTTTTTTTGTTTCAAGTTGTCAATGATAGCATTATAGAGGTGCAGTAGCCTTGTAATTATGATGACCAAAAAAAAGAGAATAAAAATTCATCAACTCTGGACGTGGTGGGGCCAGCTAAACATTTGCCAATAGATAACGACACGGCCTCGTTATCTGTTAGCTGACAGGCTATCAATCAAACTCCCTACGTTTCTAGCGTAACTGACCTGCCTGCGCGCCGCCGGTACGTGGTTTACGTACGCCTGTCACGCAGTCCACAGACGCAAGACGCACAGACGCTGTTTACTCCACCAATGCAACAGTTCTTAGCGGCTTTTTTTGACCTATATCTTCCTCGCAGTTAGCACAAAGTTTGTTGCAATGGCAGACAAGAATCCAGGAGCAGTTAGCCGCAAAAGAAAGTCCGTTTTTGAGGTCGCTGAAAGAAGAAGACAAGGGGAAAAGCAGCGAAGCCAAACTAAGGTGATTCTTGTAGATTCATTCCAGCGATGGCGCGACTGAAGCAGACGCAGGGTCTAAAGACTGACGCATTGGTCGCCAAATTACTCCTGGACAGGTAACTTCTGCTTATTATGAAAACGTACTTTATTTCCAAGAGCTAGTCAAACGTTTTTCAGGACACGAAAGCGATATCCTATGTCTGAAAACGTAATTTTCAAGGCAAAGAAAGAGTCCGCTTGCTGCTGCGTGTTGTAGCTAGTTCATTCGCACTGAATCTCCGCGCAACCTTCTCTGCTCCCCTTTCCTACTCCTGTCCCCGCTGCCCGTTCCGCTCTTCCCCCTTCTCCTCACTTCTACGGGCACGGAATCTCCGCGCACCGCTCCCCTCTCCTCTCTCCTCTCTCCTCTCTCCCTGCTCCGCTCTTCTCCCTGCTCCTCACTTCTCGTCCGCGAACGAAATGTCCGCACACCCGCTCCTCACTTCTCCGCCTTGCCTAACCAACACTGTAGTTAGTTGTTTACAAGTCATGTGCAGCTCACCGGCTGTAAACAAACCTGTTTCTGGCGTAGTGAGGAGGCGGGAGAAGGCGTTTCTACGTAGGGAGCTGTAGGGGAGGGGGGGTGGTTTCACGCATGCGCAACATTTGAAAAAGGACAAACAGTCGCTGGATTTCTCGTTCCTTGGAAAATCCTCTATACAACCTTTAATGTCACTTTAGCATCATAACTTTATCGCACAGTGATAAATTGTATTAGTGCGTTTAGTAGCAACTGTTGCCACTTCATGTTAACCACACAGACAGTGGCGTTTTCTGCACTCAGGCTGCGTCCACATCCGCTGTGCTGATGAACAAATAATCCATCCATATATTCGCCGCGTTGTTGTATAAGCAAGTGTGGGTTCAAAGTGTGAGGAAAAGTAGCGGCTGATAGTCTGGAAATTACGGTAGTAAAACGAAAGCTTTGAATGTAACTATGGTTCTATGAATCCCAGATGGCCACTCAGTAGGAATGAAATCGAACAATAATTAGTTAACATTAATGTTATTATAGTGTCTACAGGATCACAGGGGTATGATCAGTTTAAATATTTGCCCTCAGAAGCTAATGGGCTCTTACCTCAATCTGCACACACACTACATAGTATAGATTAGATACTATTGCTTACATTTGCTCTTAAGTCTGTGTTACTGTAGGGTGATATGTGTAGAATTGTATATTAAAAAATATATATATATCTGATTTTAGTGTGTCATATGACAATAACAAATGTATTGTAAGTGTAAGTGACAGCTGGATTTAAGCAATCACAGTGAAGCGTGAACTTTCAGAGATTTATTTACCCCTGTATTAAGTATCAGGCTTTTACATAATACAGTTTATTTTTGTTGGACATGTGCTAACCTAAAATATAGTGGAACCCTGCTAGTTTTGCACACTGCTGCTGCTGTGTGTCTTTTACATTATACTGAATCTGCACATTTCCTTGTAGGTGGACACGCCGGGAGCAGGCAGACTTCTACAGGACCGTCTCTTCGTTCGGGGTGGTGTTTGACCCAGAGAGGAAGGTCTACGACTGGTCCCAGTTCAGAGCTCTGGCCCGACTGGAGCGTAAGACCGATGAGAGTCTGGAGAGATACTTCAACTCCTTTGTGAACATGTGTAGGACTGCCTGCAAACTGCCCCCCAGGAAGGAAGAAGGTCATCTGGAGCTTACCATCTGCATTTAGTTTTATTTAGTTTATATTTTTTTCTAAATTTTTATTTTTTTTATTTTGCATTTCTAGGTTTAGTTGATCCTGCGTTGGTTGTGGAGCCTCTGACGGAAGAGAGAGCTGCAAGGACGTTATACCGAATTGAACTGCTACGAAAGATCCGAGAGCAGGTAAATTCAATGTTTTATAAATCAACAAGTGTCCTGAGACCGGGTCCTCACACAATTTATATATTTTCTTCATAGATAAAAAAATAAAAAATAAAAATAAGGCATGTTAGGGCATAAGTGTCTTATTTGAAAAAGGAAATATTTGGACCCTTTAGCTGTAGTTGAGCCATTTATAACCTTTTTTTTAAATTACTAAATTATTAAAATAAAGTTGCCTACAATAAAATCTTGTTTTTTTGCACTGAAAAACATATTCTTACTGCGATCGGGCTTGCATCCCCACAAACCTGATATATATTTTTTTCTCTCATTTATTTTCTTTGGCTATAATTTTCCACATTACAACATAAAATGTATTGGAGAATGTTCTGAAGTGTGGTTTTCACTTTCTATTTCCATGAAATCACGCAGCTGATGTGCCATATGCAGAAAGTTACACATTGTACTTGTTATGTACATTTTATCTCAGTGATACAAACAACAGGTTTAGTGATAATAACAGCCACTGGTGTAAGATTCAGGACGGTTTTCTCTTCTGAAACAACTGGATTTGCATTTATAAAAACATCTAGTTCTAGAAGTGGGAGCTGTATCAAAAATAGATTAGTTTTAGTTTTGGACATGTGAGGCAGCAGTGGCTCAGTGGTTGGAGCAGTGATCCCTCGACCTGAAGGTCAAAGTAATAATTTCCCTTCGATCAAGTTCTGTTGTTGTGCAAGACACTTCCCCCACCCAGTATGAATGTGGTCTGTGCCTTTACTACACGAGTGCATAATATTTTGCATCATATATTTGATGTCTTCCGTATCTGTAAAACATGTAGAAAATATTACACATAAAGAAAAAAAAAAATCATCATATCATTTGAACCTCAAATATGTATGTCTCTGGACTAATACACAGAGTGGACTGTGTACAAATGTATTTCTGTTGATATAACCTTGCAATGGAAGATACACAGTAAAAAGAAAACTATTCAAAAATTCCAAAAGACGCTAAAACAAAAAAATGTGAATTGTTTTCAACACCAAAGAATGAAAAACAAATCAAATAGTAAAAATACACTGGCAAAGTTATGCCAGTAAAAAAGTCATTTTGTATGGAAGTCAAAGGGACAAAAATGCACTGAAGGACCACAGATGTGAGTATTTTGATTATAGACCCCTCAATCAATGTGATCTTGAAAAAAAACAAACAGAAATAAAAAATACGCCACAAAATACACATAAACTGACAAATTTTGGTGCTATTTGGTGCAATATAGCCAAAATTATGCGAAAAAGAAAAGTGTCAAGTGAAATTTAATGTTAAAAACGACCAAATATTGCACATATTTCGGACATATAAATCTAAAAAAAGGGGTAAAGACAACATTTAATTCCTTTCTGTCATTTTGTTGACATATTACACACATACATATCCCGGGATTTTGGACAATTTATTTAGTATTTGAATAAAAAAATCAATCAATGTGAGCCTGGGAAAAAAAACACAGAAATTAAAATTAAAAATGCACCATAAAATACACAAACTGGCCAATTTCTGTGTTATTTTGTGCAATATATCCAATGTTATGCAAAAAAATAATAGGTGAGATGAGGGTGTAGGAGGTTTAAATAAGAAAATGTTGCTGTCACAAATATTGAAAAACTCTTATAATCCAAATTAATCCAGACATCGTAATTTAACTTTTATATTTCATTGTTCCATATTTTAAATGGATAAGTTACCCCTCTCCCCTCTCCTCACAGGTTCTTCGACACCCCCTCCTTTCTGCCCGCCTCCAGCTGTGTCGTCCCTCCCTGTACCTGCCCGTGTGGTGGGAGTCCGGCAAACACGACCGGGACCTCCTGCTCGGGGCGGCCAGGCACGGTCTCAGCCGCACAGACTTCTACATCCTCAACGACCCCCAGCTCAGCTTCCTCGAGGCCCACCGCAACTACGTCCGAGGCCACCCGACCAACCCGCACCACCCCGGGCTCGCCACTCACCCGGGCATGCCCCAGTCCGCCGCCCAGATGCCCCACTGCTGCATGTACGACTCTGGTATCCAACCTCCAGACTACCACTCGGCGCACCAGCAAACCCAGCATCACCCGATAGTGCCTTCTCCAGCTCCGCAGCTCGACCCCCACGACCCCGCGCCCTCGAGCCTGGGGATGGTGCCTGGGACGCGGGCGGCAGACTTCATGGACTGCCCTCCCCTGGATGAGTCTCTGGAGCTCAGTTCGTTGCAGCACGATACAGACGGTTTGCACGGAGGGAAAGGGTCCAAAGACGCTCTGAATGGGTTCCCCTTTAATTCGGCGGCCGGCGGGCAGAGCATGCTGAACTCGTACGGAGTGGGCGGGGCGGATCTGGACTCGAAGCTGAGGAGCGACGTGCTGGTCGGGGAGCAGGGGTCGTCAGAGGAGAGCGGACTCATGGCTCCTTCTGTAGAGCTCAACCAGATACAGGTAAGGAACAAAAACATCACTGATACTACTACAAATTCTGTGGCTACTTTAAGACAAAATACTGCGTGTGAATAGGAGAAACATATCCTACATTTAGAGATATAAATTAGAGTTGTTCTATCTGTTTCTGCACATATTTGGGACATATACATCTAAAAAAAGGGGTAAAGCCAAATTTTAATTCCTTTCTTCATTTTGTTGACATATTAAATACAAACATATCCAGCTTGACTAACTTAACTTATTTAGTACTTGAATTCAAATGTGTAAAAATCTAAACTTTCCATATTTTTTGGAGTTGAAACTTAAATGTAAATCAGGCTTTGACTTATATATCAATAGGGATGTAATAATAACCAAAATATTGTGATATCGTATCGTCAAAAGTCTGACAATAATATCGTGGACCATCACAATATATCAAAACACAAATTCCTTTGCTTAAATGCATGGTTTTACAGTAGCATCAGCTTATAACCATAGGGAACTACATATCCCATGATTAATTTCAGTACAGAAAACATGAAGAGATATTTATTACATGAATTCTTGGGATTATGGCTGAAATAATTCACATCAAAATCTTGTCAAGGTCTTTTAAAAGTAAAAAAGTGTCCCATCTACAATTATATCAGCCTCTCCAAAATATTGCAATAAATATCGTACTGTTCGATGCATATCGTGATAATATCGTACAGAATGATTTGGATATCGTTACATCCTTATATATCAACAATATCTTAAGGTGCAGATTGTCTAATTTTGTTGTTTCCATGTGAAAGCTTGAGTTTGATGTTAAGAATAGAAAAAAATTTTTAAAAAAATGTTTAACTTTCATTAACTTTTTTAAATACGTCAGTGGTTACCTCATTACTGTTTTTCAAAATTAATTTTCCTTTTCTTTGTCAGCACACAAATAGATGTTTTAAAGCAGGGGTCACAAAACTTTTTTTCTCTGAGGGCCACATTATCGCTAATGACTGTGATGGGGGTTGGGGTCGAGTCGGCCGTATAACAGAATTGTATGACCCTGGCGACGCAGATTATATTCTTTGACAACCGCCACACTTTCTTTACATATCAAACTGCAAGGTCCTTACACTCAACACAAAAATAATCGGTCATCAATAAGGTCAGTGGCTGTTCTTTGAAAACTCAGCACACTCATTCAAGTTTTTGTACTTATACTAGTGCTGTCATGCGATAAAAAAAAAAAGAGAGATTAATTAATTATGAGCTGTAATTAATTAATCTAATTAATCTCATTTTAATCTCATCTAAAAATTGCTGAGAAAAACTTCAATTTGAGGTATTTTCATTTAAATTCATTATTACATTATTGTGGCAGATCAAAAGACTCATATAGATTTAAAAAAGTGACTTTATAAAGTCATTTATTGTTTAACAAATCTCTCCAAATTGTCTGTTGAGCCCAAGTCTCCATGAATAAGAAACTGTTTGTTGTAAAGTAGCAAAGACGAGGAAATCTGAACATAATAACTTTTGTCTACTTAAAGACAATAAAAAGTCCAGTCTTTCCTTAACCATATGAAAAATATTATTGATAGAGAAATGCTTTATATATGACATCACTGGTTTTAGTCCTTGTTTTAGTCCTGGTTTAGACCTGCTTTAGTCCTACTCTAGTCTTAGTTTAGTCCTGGAATGGATTAATCCTGGTTTTAGTCCTGGTGTTAGTTCTGGTTTAGACCTGGTTTAGTCCTGGTTTAGTCCTGGTTTAGACCTGGTTTAGACCTGGTTTAGACCTGGTTTTAGTTCTGGTTTTAGTTCTGATTTTAGTTCTGGTTTAGACCTGGTTTAGTCCTGGTTTAGTCCTGGTTTAGTCCTGGTTTTAGTTCTGGTTTTAGTCCTGGTTTAGTCCTGGTTTAGTCCTGGTTTAGACTTGGTTTTAGTTCTGGTTTTAGTCCTGGTTTAGTTCTGGTTTAGTCCTGGTTTAGTCCTGGTTTAGACCTGGTTTAGTCCTGGTTTAGACCTGGTTTTAGTTCTGGTTTTAGTTTTGGTTTAGTCCTGGTTTAGTCCTGGTTTAGTCCTGGTTTAGTCCTGGTTTAGTCCTGGTTTAGACCTGGTTTTAGTTCTGGTTTTAGTTCTGGTTTTAGTTCTGGTTTAGTTCTGGTTTAGTCCTGGTTTAGTCCTGGTTTAGTCCTGGTTTTAGTCTTGGTGTTAGTTCTAGTTTAGAGGTTCACAGGAGGAAGCGCGGTTTACGCCGCGTACGCGAGAAAACACGATCCACACGCGGCTCACGGGAGGACAGCGGTGTCCGCGCAGTAACTACGGAAGGAAACGTGGTCCGCGCGTTCTCAGGTTAATGACGATGATGAAGGTGTGTGTTTGTGTGTGTTTGTGTGTTTGTGTGTGTTTGTGTGCGTGTTCCCTCATGTGGCAGGTCACTATAGGACAGTAGTGCAGACATCATGAGTCTATGCAGGTTGTTTTCACCAGTGACATTTAAGTTGTAGGCGATATTATATTTGTTATTTTCTTTTATATTTCACGTCAGGAGAATAATTTCCAAGACACGAATACGTTTTTACCTGTGCACTGCTGCTCTGTTCTACTGGCTCTTCCACCTCGTCCATTGTGTGACTGACGCCGCCAACGTTAACATAACGTTTACATCGCTCTTACTGCGTGCGTTTTATGTGGGTTTCCGGCAATGAGTGAAATTACTGAAATAAAAAAATGTATAAATGTGTTTTTGTGTGTGTGTGTTGTCCCAGCAACACATAAAAACAGATTTTATAGTAAAACAACTCACATACAGAAACAGTAGTTAGAGATTAAAATTGAGATTAACGCGATTAAAAAACATAACGCTCTAAATATGACTGTAATTAATTAATCGCAATTAACGCGATAATTTGACACCCCTACTTATACACTATCCATTTTGCTCTCTTTAACTGCACTACAGAATTCTGTGTGTGCCTTGACTATCACTGTTTGATCTCGAGTTTGACAGGTGACAAAAATTTGGCGACAAATGTAAATACGTCATATAATAATATAAATATAAATGTATTTTTTATTGAAAAAATCTACAAAATCCAAGATGCAGACATGTTATTATTAGCCAAAAAGCAAAAAAAAAAAAAATGGGCCATGACAAATTTTGAGGATTGTCTTATAGGGCCAGTTCAAGTGGTGGGGACAGAGGGGCTGGGGGGCCGGTTAAAGGGGCATGGCGGGCCTTAGTTTGATGACCCCTGTTTTAAAGCATCACCAGTTAATGGTGTCAGACATCAGACAGAGTTGGAATCATTCTTAGAGAAACATACATTATAGCTAATATTTTTATGCAAACATCCAAACCTCAAAGGCTCAGAGCAACTTTTTAGTATTGCTATATTGTGTCTTTAATTTAAATTCCTTATATTTGATCAGACTTTTACCTGTAAAAACATAAACCATAAATGCTCCTTTCACCTTCCTCCCCACAGGCTCCTTGGGACAGCACCGAGACCTCCAGCCCGGCCCACCACATGTTCAACGAGTCCGACCCGATCCTGGGCCCGTCCGGTCTGGAGCCGGGGTTCCTGGAGGAGGACGAGGAGGACACGAGGGGGGCAGACCGAGGCGAGGAGGGGGGAACGCTGGAGGAGTGTTTGGGCCTGCCCCCCTCTGCCTCCCCCTCTCACCCCTCTGCTGGAGACGCATCCACCTACATGCTCTTTAAGGTCAGTGGCTTTGTCTGTTTTGTTTGATCATGAGGTTTCCAAGCAAAAATAAGTCTGCTTCTCTGAAATAAACCTGGAGTAATTTCAGTTTCACACATAAATATGAAAGATTTAGTGATATAACTTGTTATAAATGCCAGTACTGTATTTGACTAAACTTTGACACAGCAGAATATTTAAGTGGTTTCATTAATCCTCTGCAAAAAATGTGTGTGTTTTAGCCTCACAAACACTCAATTTCCAGGGATTGTGATGTGACAGATGGAAACCCTGTGCATTTTTTCCATTCCAGACTCATTTTAATTTCTGATGCCACATTGCGTTGACATTGTTCCTGTCCAGACATGTTCATCATTACTTAGTTTAATTGTTTTCCCCCAGCTGCCAGTAGATGGTGAGCTGCACGAAATCCCAGATGAGACTCAAGAGAATGTTTAAAGGCCATTTACAATACAATAAAGCACAATATTTGATTTTAAGATTCATAAAAAATGTGAAAAGTAATGGGAATAGGGGTTTGTAACGTTAAAAACAAAACATATATAAACTTCGTTGCCTAAGAACAAACTTCTATTAAACCAGGACTAAATACCTGACTACGAACTCATAACTTTTGTCTTTTTTGTTGCTGTACTCTTCTTCTCTTGATAACTATTACAGGTCTCATTTTACATTTGGGTAACATTAAAGGGGATGTCTTCAGTAATGGTCTGTGTGGTTAAACCTCCAGGGTAATCACTCTCAAGGACTGTAGATAATAGACTCTTTAAGGGGAAAGTATGTGGGTTCAATCAGGCTTCTTAAATCGAAAAGAAAAATATCAAATGAGTAAGAGATAATGTAATGAGCTGCAGATTTGTTTGTAATGAAGGACCCTGGGGTAAAATCTGAAAACGATTTGGGTATTAGTGCAAAAAACAAATTATCCTTTCTGTCAGTGATTGTAGTGTTGTGTAGAATTAGGGTTAAGATGAAAAGCTGTACGGAAATGTGTTCATGAAATGTGTAAAAATGTACCAAAAAATACATTTAAAGGTGCAATAAGTAACTTTTCCGGTGGAATGTGCGGCACCTGCAGGGGGCTCCATTGACTCTGGCTCCAGTTGCCCCTTTCTCTGTAACTGCTTCTGTCAGGCTCCTCATTTTGGTCTGAAAATGTTCGTATTAACCCGCTCTATATGATCCTGGTGTTTTTATTTTGCTATTTTGTCCCTAAGTAAATTCTTATTCTTAATATGGAACTCAACTGAGACTCAGTGAGCTTCATTTGACTGGAGACACTCAAATCCGTGTATTATTCGTTCATTTGTTTTTCAAAATAAAACCAAAAATAACAAAATGAAAAAAAACAACTATTTCAGTTTTTGATTTTGTGTTTAAATGAAGAATGGAAAAAACGGATAACGGACCTGGTTCAGTCTTGGTTCAGTCCTGATTCAGTCCTGGTTTAGTCGTGGTTTATACCTGTTCTAGACCTGGTTTTGACCTGGTTTATTCCTGTTTTAGTTCTAGTTCAGTCCTGAGTCCTGGTTTAGACCCAGTTTAGACCCAGTTTAGACCTGGTTCAGTCCTAGTTCAGTCCTTGTTTAGACCTGGTTTAGACCTGGTTCAGTTCCTTGTTTAGACCTGGTTTAGTCCTGGTTCAGTCCTTGTTTAGACCTGGTTTAGACCTGGTTCAGTCCTGGTTCAGTCCTGGTTCAGTCCTGGTTTAGACCCAGTTTAGACCCGGTTCAGTCCTGGTTCAGTCCTGGTTCAGTCCTGGTTCAGTCCTGGTTTAGACCTGGTTCAGTCCTGGTTTAGACCTGGTTTAGACCTGGTTTATTCCTGTTTTAGTTCTAGTTCAGTCCTGGGATCAGTCCTGGTTCAGTCCGTTTGCGGCGCAAAAGTCCGGCATCGTAGTTTAATTCACGGAAATGGGAAACAGCCGTTATCAGTTTTTTTCCATTATTTATTTAAACACAAAACTGAACAAACAAATCGTTATCTGTTTTTTCATTTTGGTTTTGGAGCCAAATAATGAAGAAAATAGTTGTTTTTTTTAGTTTTCTTAGTTTTCGTTTTATTTTGAAAAACAAATGAATGAATGATACATGAATTCAGTCACTTAGTCCAACTCTTTATACAGACTGTGGCTATTGCTTTGTGTTCACTGTTTTTTAATATTGAATGTATTTATCGCCATAGAGACAGGAAGGTAACACCAAAATTTTTTTATTGTTATGTCTATAAAATATGCCGAATTAAATGAGTGCCAGATAGATATGTTTAAAAGCACAGTACCATTAAGATTTATCAAGCATAGTTAGACTTTCAACCATTACTAACAATATCAGCGTTGATTTGATGAGTAAAAATACACCACTGAGGAGTAGTTTAATTAAGAATACAACTATTATGTTATGTTTCCTATTAACACAAATCCTGTAATGGACTTTCAGCAAACAGATAAGCACTGTCTGTATTACCAACGCATGACAACATTGGAAAAATTATGTCGATGAAACAAGACAAAGGATATAAAATATAATTTAAACCCAAAAATTAAGTTTAGCAAATAAAAGACCACAATACTGAGCAAGACATTTTGTATTTCTTAGCATATACAAATTATTCCTGGTTGTTTTTCTCCATTAAAAGTTAGTAAAGTAAAAAGTACAAAAAGTCATGTCATTATAAATGCTATAACTGTTTTTTGTTTTGTAGGACATTGGTGTCACCGAGGAACCCAGCGCCGACCAAACCGACCTATCAGCGAGCCCGCCTCCGCCTTACGTCCCGCCCCCTCCGCTGTCTCTCTCTGACATCACTGACCACGAGCCACAGGATAGGCTGGACCAGAGTGATGTCACAGAGAGCCTGACCAATCCCGTGGAGGAGGAGGAGGAGGAGGGACAAGACGGAGGCACGGGGTTCGAGTTTGACAAGAAAGACGACGAGGAAATGCAAAGAGATGCTGAGAGTAAGGATGTGGAAGCTGACCCAGGTATGATAAAGATTAGATCTGTATTGTGAATAAATGCCCGGCAAATTCTTCAATTATTTTTTTTTGCTTTTGTCAAACTATGGTGTGGAGTGTGAATATTAAAAAGCATATTTTAATTGGCTGACACTAGTACATACAGCTCTTGTGTGGTAAAAAGCAAAAAAGAAAGTTAACCTGACACTGCATTATCTTACTTAATAATAGTCTATCGCTCTTCTGTGGAAACATTTGTTATCTTTGGCACTATGAAACTTTTTAGTGGTAGAGGATCTGCCACCGGCTTGTCTCCATGGAGATCGTATCTAGGATGTTGCAGAGGGAGGCATTAAACTTATTTCTCTTGAGACACGGAGCTGATACTGTCTGTCCAAGTTCAGATTTGTAGAGAGTCGAGTCCACCCAGAATACCATATTTTTTGGACTATAAGGCGCAGTATCAATAATGTGAATTCTCTCAACTATTTTTATACATAAGGCGCACCGGGTTATATTTCTGCTTGTTTCGCATTAAGCAAAACAAATCGATGACACTTGAGACTGATCCCTTAGCCCAGGCCTCCACAATCCATTGGCAGATCGTGGTGTAATTCGCCCGGCATTGCCTCTCTGTCTTGGTGAATGTGTATTATGAATGTGAATGTGGGTGGATCATTTAAGTTTGTTTTTTATTTCCTACAAAGAGGACTCAAATATACATTGAGTAATAATGTGTTTGATGGAGCTTTGACCACATTTGTTTATGTTTTAACAAAAATGAAACTTAAAGCCACATGACTAATTTGCATAAACTACAGCTCGCTCCTTGTGCTCTGATGCAGTCAGCTTCTGTCGGACTAAAAGTGCTCTGACAAGCCATCGAGCGGTGCAGGCTTCGTATCTTACCAAAGTCACACTAAAACATTTTGACAGATTTTTGAGCACCGTGTACCACATAAAATCGGTTCGAGGTCAGTAAGTACAACCAGAATTAATACATAAGGTGCATTGGATTATAAGATGCACTTTCAAGTTTTGAGAAAATTAAAGGATTTTAAGTGCGCCTTATAGTCAGAAAAATACGGTACATGTTTTAGAATGTAATAAAATTAAAGCAAGATAGATATGTTTTTTGCGATACTGTAGACCATTAGTGGCAAAACAAGGACATCACCATGGAGACAAGAAGGTGGTAGACCCCAGCAAAAAAAGTTACATAGTGCACCTTGAAGATAATGCTTTAAAAGTTCTTATTTACCAAAGTTTCCTAAAGCTATTGATATCAGTGGTCTGATCATACATATTCAGAAAACAAAAAAAAGAAGTTAACATTTTTTGTTATTTGCTTGTAGTTACAGACCCGGATGTGATGATGGACGTATCCAACTCACTCTCCGAGGACCTTCAGGGCACCTATGGCGAAACAGTGGACCCCTTTATGGGCAAGCTGGACCAGGACAGCTCCCTGGCCTGCTCCGAGTCCCTGGGCGAACCTGGAGAAGACGTGGACCAAATCATGCTGTACCAACCCATGGAGACCGGAAACCCACTCAATGAAGACGTGCTGATGGACAACGCCACGGATGACTTTTTAGAACCAAATCTCAAAGAGGAATGTGCGATGCAAAACGCAGAGTTAGCCAATGACGTCGACGCTATTTCAGAAGGCCAAGCAGATCCGGTATCGCTAATGGAAGTTCCAATGTTGCAGCCAGATGAAGAAATTGGAGAAAAGGTTGTTCAAGTCACTGAATCAGACTTGGAAGAAAATTCTGTAGCCGACATCGCACCAACTCATGACAAAATCGAAGTCAAAAGCGAAGTATCCATTGACGAAGATGAAAAAAATAATTTCGAAAATGAAATCAAGCCAGATCCTACCCTTTTCCAAAACAGTTCTGATTTTTCGAACTTTTTAGCAAATGAGGACGTCGAGAAGAAGCCGGAAGAACTGCCGATCAAAATGGAGGACGCCAAGCAAGAAGACGTGTTCGCGAGCTACGACGACGCCATGGAAACGAAACCTCTAGCATGTGCCGTGAAATCCGAAATGTCCACCAAAGTTGAGCAGTTAGACTTTCAAATCAAGGATGAAGACGCCAAACCGGAAAATTTGAGTTTGAAACAAGAAAGTATGGACAGCAAGGCGAATGTTTTCCAGCTTGCTTACTCCGATGAAGTTAAGAGCGAAATCAAGCCACTGGAATTGCAATCCTCATTCCCCGATCTCAAGACTGAAGCAAAACCGGAAGATTTGTCGACCTTCGCGGATGTTAAATCGGAATTGAAAACAGAGGGGCTGGAGCTGACCGCGTGTCCAGATAGCACGGAGGTTAAAGCCGAAAGCAGGGATGAGGGGTTGGAGATGATTAAAGGGGAGGCCAAGCAGGAGCTACTGGAAGCGGACAGTACAGTGATGACCCCGAGGATGGAGCAGGCTGGAGGGGTGAACGAAGCACCTGAAAACCTCTGCAAGAGTCAAGTGAAAGAGGAACGGTCCAATACGCCAGGTAAGAATGGGCTTTTGAGTTCTTTCAGGTCACACAAATCAGGTTTAAAAAAGTTCATTTATCTAACTTTACTGATTACTGAGTCTCTTTTTACCATCACTAGGGGGTATAACAATAACCAAAATATCGTGATATCATATTGTCAGAATTCTCTCAATAATATCGTGGGCCATCACAATATATCACAAGTTTCTTTGTTTAAATTCATTGTTATGGTGCAGCAATAGCTAAAAAAACAGAGGGAACTACATTGACCATGATCCTTTGCTTCGTTTTAGTGCAAACTATTTGAAGAAATAGCAGTTCTAAGCACTTTTAAATCTTAGTTCTTTGATTTAAGTCTTGTCAAGGCATTTTAAGAGGAAAATATAGCATATTCACAATTTAGGTAGAGTCCACAAAATATCACAATAAATACCGTACGGTGAGATGTATATCATGAAAATATGGTACCGTGAGATCTGGATATCGATACATCCCTAACTATAACCCTCACCAAAACCACACACTTTGACAAAACTCTACAAAGACGAGTGGATCTGGAGCTGTATCCTGTCTCCCTGATTTCAGAGTTTTGATTGACAGGTGGATTAGCCAATCAGAGAGACACATGCACAGTTCATGTCAAAAACAAACAGGGTTGCTAAAAAAGGGCGGAAAAACAACATAAAGGGCTGAGAAACAGTGCAGATTTTAACAGAGTCAAACTATGACTTATTTCAGCTAAAATAAGTTCTATATTTTGTTCTGAATGAGATCTTCAAGGGGAGATTTCTCCCACATTTGAGAGGCATGTGATACAAATTAGTGGCCGTGGTTGGATTGTCTCAAGTTTAGATGGAGGTTTTTCACGTTCTTAGAGAGAGAGAATGCCTTTTATTTGTCCAGTTTTTCACATGTACAACACATACAAAGGAATCGAAATGAGACCTGTCGATCCATCCGTATAAACACAAATACACACACATACACATACACAAACATACAATCAATATGACATGGTGAGAGGGGCAGGGGGTTACTAAACACTGACCGGACAGGAAGACAGGGAGTAAGAGGAAGAAAACAGTGCAGCATAACATGAGGAGAGGGGGAGGGGAGAAAAAGAAACAACTCCCAGACCATGCTCCTGTGGTGGGGCATAATGTGGGACCAGTACAAAAAAATAATAATCTCTGCAACATCAGCACATAGTCAAAACACAATGCAACATTACCACTCCACTTTCAACAGGGGAGGGGAGTGGACTTAACCCAACGTTCTGCGGTTCGGTTCCAGTCTCTTCTGGATTCAAACAGACTGTAGAAGGGACTGGCTGATCAGGAAACCATAACTTCATCAAGCTATTAGCGCTAATTTCCCTACTGTGATCTATAAAGTATACCATAACCATCTTTTTTTCAGTACTTGAAATATGACTAAGTTAAACATATTTACCTGTGTCTCCTGTAGCCCCTGTGCTGGAGGGCTACAGTGGCAGTCCTCGCTTTGCCACCCCAATGTCCATGTGTGACATCCCAGACAGCCTGCACGACTCCCGGGAGAGAGAGCCCACCATCGCCCAACTGCTCCAGGAGAAAGCCCTCTACTCCTTCTCTGAGTGGCCCAAGGTATGCCCTGTATGCCATCCTCATGTGTCACATGTTATGTTTATTCTCAGAAGAAACTTTGATTGTTTTGATTTTAGACCACATGAATAAAAATAAAATGCACTGAGACTGTTAAATAGATTTCCAGAACTATTAAATCATAAACTTAGTAGTAACATCTTAAATATAATCATGTGAACTATGTTTGAGTGAAATGAGCAGTCTAACCTCTCATATGCACTTTAATTCCCCAATGCCAACTATTCTTAACCCTCTCAGGCTCAAATAAAATTTTATTAACAGGAAAAAATCTGATATTTGGGGAAAATGATCATACGGAGTATTAATTTACAATCCTGACTTTTTTTTGAGAGAGACCTTCACATCCAATGCATTCTGGGATGTTGCAGATTTGCAGCATTGGTGCAGTGTGGTAAATTAACACTGAAGACTGAAAATGATATGAATGCTAACTTTATGTGTATACAACTTTTCATAACAATGAAAACATAAAGCACAGTGTAACAGCTTTACAGTAGCAGAACAACATCACTTTTTCGCGTGGTACTCCAAGAAACAATTTTTATCCTTTGTAAACAACAGAAGTACTTTGCACTTCTGGCAGGCCGTTTGTGTGTAACCATTCTTGCACAGTCTGCATCGTCCACGTTTATCAGCATGGATGGGAGAAAAGGCTCCAGAGTAAAAAAAAGCTCATAAAATATGGATTTGGAGTAAGTAGGTAATTGGCATTTAGCTGTTGCAAATCAGCAACACCTGCCTGGAGAGGGTTAACATACTATTGAATTTGACTAAAACATTTCATCCTGTTAAAATATAGTGTCAGACCTATATGAACTTTTGATGTGCACCATATTTCAGTGTTGTAAATCAGAAGTTCAGAATGTAACTATATTTTCTTGGTCAATGGAGATGAAACAGAACTCACATTATTGCAAGTAGCCTTTAGTGTCAAGAGATGTTACAGATTTCGAATTTAGAAGTAGACCCACAGTTTAGGAAACAGTCACTAATTTTATATGCACACCCAGAGACACTGCATTTACTTTTAATAATTTTAGAAGTGCTTGATTTCAAAGTGAAATGTAGCAGCCTGCAATTACAATCTTTCAGGCTCAATTCATGCTTAGTCTTAAAAAGAATTAAAAATTGTAGGCAGAGCTGCATACGCGCGTACTTTTAAAAGCTTCAATTTACACCAGAGGCAGCAGAGTCTGTGCATTCTCAAGTTTGAACACTAAACTTTTTACATTGCTTATGTATTCATTGTTGATTGGATGAATCATGTTTGAAATCACAATACAAAAGTAGAAAACAAGAGAGACGGTGGTTTGCAGTGATAACGAGCCGTATCTGCGGCGCTTGCATTAATTAAGCTACTGACCCTTTAACTTTGGCTGTCTGCTCCATGCGCCTTTTCCTTCAGAAGTTGTTCTTGTAAAGTTGCTGTCTGATGTCGTAAAGTGTTTTATATTTATCCTCCACAGCTGTAAACTTTCCGTAGTCCATGAGTCATTCCCCGAGCTCGATGCAATGCACGGTGTTTACACGACTGTAGTGGTTTAAAAGAACGTATTTTGAAAGGGCAACAGAAGTTTATTTTGACACTGTGTGCCCATTTCCTGTCTTTCCTCTGCTATAAAGCCTGGGGACGCTCTGTTGATGCTGCAAAATTAGAATTCCAACCTAATTTGAGCGGCTCGTAGCATAATGATGGCCTTTGCACACGCGTATGACACTGCTGGTGTAAATTGTCCGACCGGTTAAAATGGAAAGTCATACCTGCGAATATGCTTCTCACGCTGTGCTGCTGAGCTGTTACGCTTTGGTGTAAATTGGGGGTTATTCTACCAGGAAGAAATCCCATTGAGATTAAAAACCTCTCTTTCAAGGGAGTCCTGGCCAAGAGGCAGCAATTACCTCTTGCTGAGTTTTCTCCTCTTAGTATTTTGTATGTTCACTTTACAGGACCGTGTGATCATAAACCGGCTGGACTCTGTGTGCCATGCCATCCTCAAGGGCAAGTGGCCCTCCTCCAACGAGCAGTACGACTCTCCCGGGGTGCTGGCCGCAAACTCCTGCCTGGCGAACAGCTTAGCGCAGCACCATCAGCAGCAGCAGCAGAGGGCTGGGTTCCTCTCCACCTCTCCAGTCTCTGTACCAGGACAGGCCCGGGTCCAACCCCCACCCTCGGGACTCAGCTTCCCCCTGCCCCCTCCCCTCACCAGGCTGCCCAAGGTGAGTCAACTTACAAGATTGTTTTTTTCTTTTTACAATTTTTAAATCAACACAAGAACATGTAAAGTGCCTCATGTCAACGGAGATGATTTATTTGTTGATTTAAGTGTGCTTTTAGTCGACAGCGATTATCCATAACATTAAGACCACCTGCTTTTTCTAAAACATTATTATTGCCTGCTTTGTATGCAGCCCCATATGCAACCATCTGAAATGCTCTGCGTTCTAGGATTTACTACTCCTCAGCAATTTGTTAATTACACACAGACCCCTATATCTTCTATTATTCATGCTTTTTACGCTACTGTGGACACCTTAGCCTTGGTAGGAAACAGTTTGTATCAAGTTTTTCACAGTGCTGAGTCAGGCTGCAGGTTTTAGGGAAAAATGAAATTGTGATTGCACATTGTAACAACTCCAGAAAAGACTAAAATATCAATGATAAACTAATACAAGAAAACCATGTATTTCAGCGTTTTTGTAGAGGTCTAAACTACAGACGCCGCAAGATAATATAAGTAGTTTTTTGTTATTGAGGATATTGCATTTTTTAAATCATGGCTGACTTTACAATATGATAATTACAACAACTCAAATACACAACAGCGCACTGCAAACACACTTCCTGTCCAATTGTGTGTCTGTTTTTTTGTTTTTTTTTCTTCTGAGTCATGCTAAAATGAATAAATATTAAAGATAAGACACCGGAGAGTGAGTTGTGCGTGGGTGTGACTGAAAACATGTTGAAAAAGTACACTTCAGTGGAGGACGCTTCTGCTTTTAGAAAGGAGGAGGTCTGTGTCTCAATGCTAATGCTAATTGCTAATGCTAATGCTAAGTGTGAAGCATAATAAATATTAAAATAACACCACAAACTGAAGTATTTGGCACATAAAAAAAATATTATTTGGTAGTTTTAACTTTAATTAATTTGAACTTTAATGCGTTGTTTATTTTATATTTTACGATTTTAATAAAAGTGACTGTTAGCTTTGAGACGCAGTGAATCAATTGCAATACTGTATAGCGTAGCTTTAATGGTAGCTTGTGTCTTTCTCTGCTGCTTATTTGTGGCGATTTGAGCATTGACATGATCAGTGTGAAATGTGTGCACAAGAAACAAAACAAAAATAAAATTAATACATGGTTCAAAGCTCTAAATGTTGAAATATGGGCCAAACACAGAAAGAAATTGCTGCTTCAAACCCCTCATCTGTGATTGGTGGAACTATTGCTACAGTGTGGTGTATTTTGACATAAATGCATGGACTACGGTAAGGTGCACATCATTATACATTGTACCCGGGGCCCTTATGCTCTCATCATTGTGTTGTTGCTTAATGTAAAGCTTTTTGTCTCTGCAATGTGGACTGTTAATGATATGAATGTTTAGAACAGGCCTGGGCGGGTAAAATATGAGTCAGACTTGATATAACAAATGTTTCAAAGCATTTGATTTGTAGCTCGATATAAAATAAGAATACACTGAAATTCGAGTAACATAGGTACAGAATTATTGGCATTATTAAATTCAATGCACCAAATGTTAAGATAGTATATTAAAGAAATCTGTCTGTCTGGCAATAACTACTATTATATGAAATTTAAAGGTGCGCCCGTTTTCTGTTCTGGTGTCAGTTATGCTGTTTGCTTGGAGATGTTATTGCTTTGCAGGATTGTTCCACAGTATGGCATTAAACAAATCTATGTAACATATATTTTTGTGCAGGTCTATACAGTGCAAATACCTTGAAAACGTGCAGTCCTCCCTACAGTAACTTACCTGCCTGTCTTCATATAGATCAGGGGTGTCCAAACTTTTTTCATCAAGGGCCACATATCTAAACATAGACAAAGCAGAGGGCCAATCGAGGGGCGTAGATTGGTGCTCAATACAGTAAATAATTGAAATATGTGCATGCTTAACACATTAGAATGAGCCCATCAGTGTTTATTCCTGCTAAGATCCTTAAAACCACACACTAAATATCAAATCTTAGCTTTATCAAGGTAGATTTTCAAAAAAAAACTTGCTGTAAAAAGTTCATTTTTAATTGATGCAGGGTAATCAGGGCCAATTCACCTGGAAGCCTGAGGGCCAAGAAAAATGTATCTGAGGGCCGCATTTGGCCCGCAGGCTATAGTGTGGACATGCCTGATGTATATAGAGAAATTTAAGGTTATACTGTGGAATAGTCTTAGCAATGCAACAGCATCTTCATGGAAACAAAAAGTGGCACCCCACACCAGAAAGGTTAGTGCACATTTCAACTGGTCTTAGATTGATTCAGTGGAGGAGGGTTAGTGTTATTATCAGTGCTGATGCCCAGGCCTGCCTGCAGCTGCTTGTTTGCGTCCTGTTCTTGTCCGTGTGTGTCTAACAGTGCTGCATCTCTCTCCCACCCATCCCTGTGTCTGTCGCCTGGTGCAGTTTGTGTCGCGGGGCGGGGCAGTCGGGAGGGGCGGAGCTTGGCGCCTCACCTCGTTGCCTCTGTTGCAGGAGAGGCTGGTGGCTCCTCCCTATCTGCCCGAGCTCAAGCGAGGGGGAGGGCGCCGCCCCTTTGACTACGAAGCTGCAGCTAAAGCACTAACTGGTAAGATGACGCCCAACTCCACCAGTGAGAAACCAGGAAGTATAGTAGCTCCGCCCTCGCACCGCACGCCGCCAATGTTGATCAACGGCTGGCAGGAGACAGCCATGGACTTGACGAAGCCCTCGGGAGGTGACCAGGAAGAAGGAGGAGGGGCCAAAAAGCTAGCCCCGCCCCCCATCTCTGCACCGTTGCCAGGACTGGACATGGCGGGCATCCTGCAGGCCGGCCTCATTCACCCGGTCACAGGGCAGATAGTGAACGGCAGCCTGCGCTCTGATGACGCTCTGAGGAGGAGGAGGGGCAGGAGGAGGAACGTGGAGGCGCTGTACTCTGAGTTCACCAAAGGCAGAGGCCTGACCCCAGAGGCACAGGTGAGTACAGGGGCCATCAGCTGTGTGTGCTCTCTGTTTATCCATACACCATTACATTACATCATGTCTGTGATGAGATGAGACCTACGGCTGGGCTTCTCAAACTGTGGTATGTGGTCGCCTGTATGGTTTTTCTTATTTTAATCAGAGACTGGTTTCTGGTTTCTTTTAAACGTGGCTTAGCCTCGGGATGCTGTTGCAATTTCCAGATTCACAATAATAATACGGACTCTTTAAATATATTGTATTAAAAGCTCCTTGTCCTTTTTCCTTGTTGGATCAATAAAAACCATAAGCAACTACATAGACCATAATCCTTTGCTGTGTCACTGTAGCCTGTTGACTACCTTGACATGACTGTCGTTTGCTGATGCACAAAGAATAGCCCTGTAGGATCCTAAGCGCATTTATAAATAAAAAATTGTTAGCCTCTCACAATTTCACAAAAAGTAAAATGTAGAACAAATTGAAATAGCGTAAGAGTTGAAAAGATAAAACATGACACTGGAGTTCTAACAAAGGAGTAATTTATTTACCATCAGAACAGGGACACGAGACCTCAAGACATCATGATAGTGTTTTTGGAAAGGCTCAGTTCACTGAAAGATGTCTGTAGTCCTGTAATACTGAGTAATATTATCCCTTTGATGCAAAACTATTTCTTATGTTGTCCCTTAACAGTAAAAAATACACTGGCATTTGGCAATTGTTAACTTTTGCTGCTTCTAACACATACACTGAGGCCCTATGTCTTGTAATATTTATGTTACGGACACCTTAGCCTTGGAAGAAAGCCGTTTGCATCAACAGGGTTCCCACGGTCATGGAAATCCTGAAAAAGTCATGGAAATTGAAAATATCAGTCATGGAATTTTAGTATCTCTTTCACGCAGCTACAGCTTAAGTTATCATTAGGCTGTTATGATTATTTCTGAACGTCTGCACCTTTTGTTTAAAAGAGAAGACAATAAATGCACTGACAGTATTTTGAATGTTAAAAAACTATAATACCAAACCATAAGGTGAGTGGAAAGGGCTAACATTTCATATTTATCTCCAAAACTATGCTAAATTGTACAGGGTGCAGTAAAGTCATGGAAAATTCATTTAGATCATGGAAAAGTCACGGAAAAGTTTTGAAATTTTGTCAGTGAAAAAGAGTGGGAACCCGTCTTACAGTAATGGCTGGACAATTAAAACAAAACAAAACAGTCCAACATTAAACAAGATAAGATTCTGGTCAGATTGCACATTGTAAATATTAACATTTGAGAGTAGATGGAAATACAATTAATACAGAAATACACCCATTAAATCGGTTCATTCCAGTTTAGTCAAGTCCAGTTTGGCTACGCTTCAGTTGTAGGGAGTATTATACCTCTGTTAACATAAACCAAGATTAGACGTTTTTCGCTGGCAGTGTGTGTTTGGCACAGCAGAGAAATGCAATGTTAATATTTTAATATGAGCCTTAGTTTTCGTTACATAATTTATCTCCAACAGCGCCTGCGGGTAAAAGGGAAGAAATTTAAGGCCTCAGCGATGGTTGTGCTTTTTTTAGATTAAGACACATTTTTTCCCTTTTTTCAGTGCAGCGTCTCAAGATAATTTTTCAGAATTTTTTTGTACTTGACAAAATGCTGTGCAAGTCCTTGCAAGTCCTCTCAGATTTATGTTTTTGCTTCTGTGTCTTATTTATCTCCCCAGGCTCGCGTAGAAGCCATCAGCCACTCCGCCGTCTCCTCCTCCACCTCCTCTCCCTCCCCCTCTCCGTCGGATCGCCCAGCTGGTCCCCCCACGCCCTCCTCCTCCTCCACCCCCACCCCGCCAGCTCAGACCCCCCCACAGCCCGAGATCGTGGCCATAGACCGGGAGGCCGCCAGCAAAGGCCTGATCGAGTGGCTCAGACAGAACCCTGGATACAGCATGGACCTGCCAGCTTTCGCCCATGTGAGTCTGAATGTTAATATTGTAGTGGTGATCAAAACAACTAAACCTATATTTGTAAATGTGTTGCTTTTTTAATTAACCTTGTGGTTAATTGAGTTTTTACTGATAAACTAAAATGATGAAAAAGATAAAATAAAGATGCGATAACTTTTATTTGTACACAAGGGGAAAATTTCAATGTACAAGAGCAGCAGGTGAATAGAAAACCAACCAAAAATAAAACAAGGAAATTAAGATAAAATATAAAAATTGCAAAACACATAAAAATAATAATAAAATGCAACTCTTTTCAAGTATAGTAAAACTAAATCAAACCTCCTTGTCAAAGGCTGATGTCGTCAGATCTCAGAAGCTAAGCAGGGCTGGGCTTGGGCAGTACTTGTTGGGAGACTGCTGGGAAATCATCGTTATGTGTGCGTGAGTGTTGGTTGTGGTCAGAGGGGCCGATGGCGCAGATTGGCAGCCTCACTTCTGTCAGTCTGCCCCAGGGCAACTGTGGCTAGAATAGTAGCTTACCTCCAACGGGTATGGAGTGAGGAGTAATGCACTAAATTGTACAGTGACTTTAAGTGTCTGCAAAAGTGCTACATAAGACAAATGCACTATTATTATTATTATTAGGCTATTATTATGTACAGGGTTCCCACGGTCATGGAAATCCTGGAGAAGTCATGGAAATTGAAAATGTCATTTTCCAGGCCTGGAAACGTCATGGAACTTTGTAAATTCAATTAAAGTTTTGGAAAAGTCATTGAATTTTAGTATCTCTTTCACCTAACTACAGCATTCTGTTAAGTTATCATTAGACTATTATGATTATTTCTGAACGTCTGCACCTTTTGTTTAGAAGAGACGACAATAATGCACTGACAGGATTTTGAATGTTAAAAAACTATAATCCCAAACCATGAGGAGAGTGGAAAGGGGTAACATTTCATATTTAGCCCTAAAAGTCTGATCAATTCTACACATCTAGGGTGCTGTAATGTTATCAAGTCATGGAAAAGTTTTGAAATTTTGTCAGTGAAAAACAGTGGGAACCCTGTATGCATTAATCTATTAACATAATAATAGGCTATCACTAAACAATACAATGTGGAAACAAGATTTTGAAGTAATTATCTTTTTGTGACATTGGAACCATTTCTCACACATGGTTTAAGGGTTGCTCTCAAATAACAAACAATCAATTCCTAATAACATTATAATATTATTGCATGATAGTAATCGCCAATATCACTACCAAATGGAAAATCAAAGTCTACACAGCTTTTTTTTTTTCTTTCTGGTTTTGTAAAAATTGCTAGAAAACAGGCTACAGATGAAAAATGGGCTCTTGGCTAATTCTGGCTTTTAACTCATGTTTAATCATTTGTTTTATGAAATTGCACTGTCCCTTTTCAAATAAACAAATCTTATCTATTCTAAAATGTGAACAGACAAGCTAAAATGACATCTGTTAAAATGGGACTTTTTTTGTGTGTGCTGTAGACTCCAGGGGCCAGTGTCCTGCACGGTTTCATCGAGCGTCCCAAACAGAGGAGGCACCGCTGTAAAGACCCCACCAAACTGGACGTGAACTCTCTGACCGGAGAGGAGAGGGTCCCCGTGGTCCACCGCGGCACAGGGCGAAGGGTAAAACAATATACGTTTAGATTACAGCTGCCAGTGGTGGAAGAAGTACTCAGGTTTATTAGGTAAAAATACAGATACTGGATACAAACTGACACTCAATTAAGTAAAACTTAATTGAGTGTAGTGTAGTATCACATGAAAAAATCGACTACTGCTACTACTACTTGTAAAAGTATTAAAGTACTCCTTTAAAATTGTACTCAAAGAGTAAAAGTAAAAGTATTTTGCACCTGTTTTGAGATCTTATAAGGAAGGGGTGTCAAACTCAAATTCAGTTGGCCAAAATAAAAAACTGGGACTAGGTCGTGGACCAAACTAAATATTTATTGAAAAATTTCAGCAACATCTGCATGTTTTCTCTTCTTTTGAGATATGTAATGTTAAACCTTTTCTTATTAAAATAAATGTTAAATAAAAGTTTTGCTTAAACACTGAATCCAAAACAAACATTATATAAAATAATAACCAAATAATAAAAAAAAGAAAAATGTCTCTAGTGCCTATCTGTAGCCAGTGGGGCAGCTCTAATACATATTTGATATGAGCTTGTGGGCTAAATATAAATATATCGTGGGCCAAATTTGGCCCATGGGCCTGAGATTGACATGTCTGTTATAAGGATTCAAATGTAATGATTTTGATAAAGATTTGTGCAGAATTTTGGTCAATAGAAAAAAATGAAATAGAGTTATTTTTTTAACTGTTTTTCTTTGTATATTTTTGTTTGCTTAAGCTACAAATGTGTTAAAAATAAACCCGTTTTTAAACTTTTCAGTTGAGTACAGATATCTGCTCTCAAATGTAGTGAAGTAAAAGTATCCATTTTAAAATCTACTTAAGTAAAGAACAGATACCTAAATGTTTTACTTAAGTACAGTAATTTACTACTTTTACTTTGTTACCTTCCACCACTGACAGGTACAATCATATCTTGTATTTGTAATAATAAGCCAATGTCTTTGTACTGTCTCGCTTCCACAGCTAGGGGGTGCTATGGCTCCAGCGATAAAGGAGCTGTCCCGGTGGCTGGACGCTAACTCTGAGTACTTTGTGGCTCCGGATTGGGCAGATGTGGTCAAACATTCTGTGAGTACAACACACTACAGAGGAAATACTGTCACTGTTTTCACATTTTTAGTTTTAACTTCACTTGAAATCTGTGAAAGATCAAAATTAAGGTGTACTGCCTGAACATAAACTACTCTTGGACAGTTTGAGTCGGTAGAATCTTGGCATTGTCATCTAGGAATAGGGCTGGGAGATATGGCACTAAAAAGAGTATTGATCTGATATCTGGGAAAATAGCATTTAATGAAATTGTCATATTGTGATTCACAAATTTTCTGTTTAATGCAGCTTTACACTCAAACTCAGAAACCTCTTATTGGTCTCTGTAAGTGAGTGACAAGTAGATGTAATAATTTACAGTGAAGTGTGAATTTTCAGGAGAAGTCGATTACTTTATTTATCTCTGTAAAATAATATAAAGATACTATATGTACATAAATTGTGATAAAATAAGAATTGTCATCACGCACCAAGAAAATCTGGAGGGTTTTATTTGTTTGTTTGCTTTTTTGGCATACGGCCCAACCCAGTTTACCCCAAAATATGTCAAAACTGAATTATCAAAAAAAAAAAAAAAAAAAAAAGAATACATATTTGCTTATTTCTTTATTTATTTTTTCTTTCAAACTAGACTATATTGCAGTAGTGTAAAAAAATCTCTTAGAAAATTCTCAAAATGCTTAACATTCTCTGAAGAACATGTCAGCATCTACATTTTGAATCTTCAGTAGTGAGGATAGACTTCATGACGTCTTGTAAACAGAGCCTCTTGTGTCCTCCACAGGGGTATCTACCTGAGGGGAAGTTCTCTCGTATCCTGACTGAACCAGTGAACCGGGACGCAGCCAGACGCAGAGGCCGTCGCCCCCGCAGCGAGATGCCCAAGCCGCTGCTCTCCGTGTCGGACGCCTCCCCCACCACGCTGGGCCCGCCGATATTCATGAACGGAGGTCTGATCGGCAGCGTGGACACTATGGTGGCTATGCAAAACCTGCGCGGAGCTACTATCCCCGGGTTACCTATCTCGGGCATCATGGCGGCCGGCTTTCCTCACGGCTTCCCTGGGACTTCTTCATCACCAGAAGACGCTAAAAATGGCTTGAGCATGCTGCCGATGATGCTACACGGTATACCACATGGAGCCACTATACCGCAACATGCTATGCTAAGCGTTGGCATGATGACGCACGCTCCTCCGCCAGCTAAAGCCACTCAGTCCGAATCGGCCAGCCCTACTTCGTCAACTACAGAGAAGGAATCGTCTTCAGCTGTGGCGGAAAAGGATACAAGCAAAGATGAATCCGGAGAAGGAAGTCAAAAAGCTACAACAACCACGGCGGCTGCGATCGTGGAGCAGGCCGCGATTATCACCTCAACCAGTAGGGGGCACATCGGAGCGGCGCACATCGGAACAAGCGCGAGTAGCCATCTTACGTTTAACCCTTTCCTAATACCGGGAATGTCGCACGGTTTGCTGTACCCGCACATGTTCCTGCCACACGGGGGCATCATGACGCTACCGGCTATGCCCCCCGGAGCGGTGGACGGGTCCCCAGGAAGCCCGAAAAGGAGGCGCAAGAAAGAGGAGGAGAAAGGAGATGACGCAAAGGAACTCAAAGCCGGCGGTAGCTCGCAGCCGGTTAGCCAGACACCGCCTCCTCCCCCTCCGCTAGCGAGCTCCTCCGCGAAAGACGCGAGCGAAAGTGTTGAAACGCAGGGGGCGCCGGAGAGCCAAGACTTGCAAGCGCGCGCGGCAGAGGAGGCGACGTCGGAAGAAGACAGAAAGCAGGAAGTGGTAGAGGAGCAGAGACAAGCAAACGGAGAGGAAGGCTAAAAATATCCAATCTACTTTCTTGTAAAATTTGTGCTGTGTCTGTCAGTTAATGTCCATGTAAAGATTTTTTCAATATGGCAGTTCAACGATGATAATGTCTTACTCGGTCATGTTTATAAAGCCACCTCTCTCACCACTTCTTCTCCTTGTATACAGATACTAGTGCAAGAGACAGAAATACAACATCAATGTATTCTTCCCATTCTGCGTCAACTAAATCAGATCAGGACAGAAGGAAAATACCGCGACCAAGACGGCGGCAGTGACGTAAACATTGTACTCTAAGTGAACTCTTGTCTATTGGACGTTAAGGACTTTGAAAAACACATTTCACCACATCCTGAGATTTTTTTAGTTTGTCAGTCCATTTATTTGATTTCCCGGGCACACTCCAATGTTTCAACCAAGTGCAATGTCGTATAGTGAAGAGAAAGCAGAACCAGCATTCCTATAAAGACTGTGGAATATATTGTTAGTTATTGTTATTGGTGAAAATGATGAAAACTCGAAATGCATTGTAAACAGTGTAGGTTGCTCCCTATTGCAGTAATTTTGACTTGAATGTCAAACACACCAAGATAAATAATAATCTAATAAGTAATAGTTAAGGTAGAATATGTGTTGTCTTCAGTAAATGCTATTTTTCTCAACTTAAAACCAGCAACATTCATCAGCCCCAACCTCCTTCTTAATCATATTATAACAATGACATTAAAAAAAAAAAAAAAAGTTGCACGTTATTGCTGCGCGCTTCACATTAATTAAAGACGGGGTATTATGCTCAACTTTTCTGAGCTTTCTACCATGTTATAACGTTGTTCCCTCATCAGAAACATGCCTGAAGTGGTTTTATTTGTCAATTATGCATGTTTGAGTAATCTAGCGATCTCTCCTGGACACTATTTGAACTCTTTTTACGGTTAGGAGTATGATTTTGTTCGATTCTCAGCCCATAAGCGTACATCACCCATGCTTCCACGCAACAATTTTCCATAAATGAACAAAAGCAGGATAGAAAACAATACACTACGACTTCACAAACCTGGTGCGATGTGTGGAAGTTTCATTGGCGGGATGCATGGTGATTGAGTTCGCTCTGAAGGGGGAGGACAAAAGGAGGGGACTCAAAAACGAAGCATCAAAAACGAAAATGAAACTTTTTAAACATGTTTTCAGCGAGTATAGCATTTTCAAAACAATAAAAGGTAACATGGTGATCAAAATATGTAATTAATACCCCAGAGAAGTGTAATACCCCTTCTTTAAACATATAATTACCTCTGCGATCTAGTTACAAATGAAAATCTGCATTTCTTATCCTCATATCATTTACTGAAGATGACACATTAACCGTCCTAGTACCTTACTATTACTGCGCAAATGTTTTATTTTTTAGCGAGATAGTATTAGTTAGCTACACCAAAACCTAAAAGGTCTTTTATTATTTGAATTGCACATGGTTATGGTATGGCAATAATTGCTATTTACCATAAGAACAAAATGGATCATGTACCAACTGTTCTTTTTAAATTTGCTTTTAGTAATTTGGAGCAAAGAACAATCATGAGATTAATTAAACATTTTGAATCATGCTTTTAGTTTTTTAGCTTAAAGGTGGATTGTGTAACGTTTCTGGTGGAGGGATGTTATTGCTTGGTCTGGAATGTTTCACAGTATGGCTTTAAACGTTTCTATCTTCATGGAGAAAAACCAGACCAAGTTACAGGTCAGATCTGTGGAGAGGCGACCCACTCACAGTAACAATTTCGGTTTTTCAAGGTATTTTTGAGCTATAAAACCAGCTGTAATTGAATAGAGTTGTTTAATATCATACTGCGGAACATTCCAGGCAGAGCAGTGACATATCCATAGAAACACGGAGGTAACAGACCCCCTACCAAAAAGTTACGCAGTGCACCTTTAAAACACAAGTCACTTTGCTTATAGAAATTACTAGGATTTAAAATATCTAGGTTTCTCCACCAGATGGCAGTATATGACAGAGTTCAGACTGTCTAACTTGATCCAGTATTTGCCCCCCGAGTTTTAAAATTGCCCCTAAACAATTTCTGCACAATGTTTGCAACTTGTAGCATCAAAGTCCTTTTTAGCATAGCGCTGTCCTGTGCACTTTCATTGTTCTAAGTATGTTTATGTGTTAATAATGAAAGGGAATAGACCAGGAAGAAGAGGGATCCACATTTGGACTGAGTGCCTCATATTGTCTCATTACGTTACATCGACTGTCACGCTACAACTTTAAAATGTGTAAATCTGTCGCTGTACATTGCTATTTTTATTTTGCATCGTATATAATTTCTCTTTTTTGCCTTTATTCTTCAGTGGGGAAAAAAATACTTGACTTTCCTTACAGTACTGTGCAAAAGTCATTGGCAAAAAAGTCGCACTGAGTGTCTGGTTTTATCTCGAAATAGTTAATTTAATGTGTATGGACCTAGACTGCATATCAAATAATCTATTTCGGGGTAAATGCTTTCGTTAGCCTCAAAACTGATAAGAAAATTGTACAAACATGCAAAGAAATTTATATATTTTTAAATGGCTAGTAATTACAGATGTTTCATTATTTCAGCCTTTTTAAAAAGATATTTGGGAACCTTTACATTGATAATTTACCTCATATTATTTAAGTATGGCACAGTATTGCCCTCTGCTGGTAACACTAGGAAGTGGAACATTTTTAAATTGCTTATTAGCAGCACAGCAATTTGCAACGTGGTGCAAACTGTTACCAGGGTTCCCACGCTTATGGACATCCTGGAAAAGTCATGGAAATTGAAAATTTCAGTTTACAGACCTGGAGAAGTTATAGAATTTTGTAAATTCAATGAAATTTTGGAAAAGTCATGGATTTTTTTTAGTATCTCTTTCATGCAACTACAGCGTTCTGTTAAGTTATCATTAGACTGTTATGATTATTTCAAAACGTATGCACTTTTTGTTTAAAAGAGACGACAATAAATGCGTTGACAGTACGGATGTAACAATAACCAAAACATTGTGATATCGTATCGTCAAAGTTCTCACAATAATATCGTGGACCTTCACAATATATCGAATTACAAGTCTTTTTGCTTAAATTAAGAGTTGTGCAGCAACAGCTAAAAAAAAGACAGAGGGAACTACATAGACCATGATCCTTTGCTCCATTTCAGTGTAGACTACAAGAAGAAACACAAAACACTTTTAAGTCTTAGCTCCTTGGATTAAGTCTTGTGAAGGCATTTTAAGAGGAAAAAGAATCCTATTAAATTTTGTTAGCCTCCACAAAATATTGCAGTAAATATCGTACCATGAGATGTATATTGTAAAAATATCATACTGAGAGGTTTGGATATTGTTACATCTCTAATCATGAGCCTCCCCACTATATCGTGAGCTTTCCCACGATATCTCAATAAATATCGTACGATATTACGACTTGGATATCGTTACACCCCTAGTTGACAGTATTTTGAATTTTAAAAAACTATAATACCAAACCATAAGGTGAGTGGAAAGGGTTAACATTTCATATTTAGCCCTAAAGGTATGATCAATTCTCCTCAAGTAGGTGCCGTAAAGTCATGAAAAATTCACTTTGGGTCATGAAAAAGTCATGGAAAAGTTTTGAAATTTTGTCAGCGTAAAAGAAAGTGGGAACCCTGCGTTACTTGAGTTATAGTGAAGTGAAAACGTTAATCTCTCTTTCAGTATGTGCCGACATCAAGCTTGGGAGGTAACGTCCAAAAAAGGAGCGTTACCATGGAGATCTGCCATATTTCTAGCAATGGAGCGAAACGTGCTTAAACAAAACATTAAAAAACGTAATGAAAAAAAATAAATAATAAATAAAAAGAAATGAAATCATAGTGGAACAATAAAATCTTCCACAAAATAACCGAAGCTAAGCAGCTAACCGCTAACGTGCGACCTCATAACCCCGACCTCCTGATACGTTTTCATGCTAACAAGCTAGCGTAGCATTACCATACAAAACATTTCCATTCCCAACTATGTACGTACATTTGGTTTAACACTAGGCTAACTGAAAATCCCAATGATGTGTGACGTCACAATCCCGAGCTCTTATTACCTCCTGATATGTTTACATGCTAGCTCGTTAGCTTAGCATTAGCATACATAGCATTTCCACTCCCGTGTGTTACTTTTGCACAGTATTGTACAATGAGGAGCTACTTGTTGTATCAAAGACAAAGTACTGTACATTGATGCAGGTTGTATCATCTTTGCATCATGTGTTTATAACAGGGTGTACCGTGAGGGTAAAAATAATGGACTTTTTCATGTTTGCTAACTGAAACTTTTTTGCACAGCGTCTTGATTGTGAATGTTTTAGGTTTGTATATCATGTGGGATGGTGTGACCTTGCATGCGCACACTCATTTTTTTTTTTTTTTTTTAATTTCAGCCTCGTCCTCACATGATAAAAACAAAATGTGGCCTTGTTACAGACATAGACAGAACAAAATGGTGGACCAAAGGATTGTGTAAAAAGTGTGTAACTGCTATTGATTTGTAATTGATATTATGTTTAGAAATCTGTGACCAACTTTTTATCGACTCAAAAATGGCCCTTCTGTACACTATAATGCAATTTTCAGAGCGCAAAATGACCATGAGCAAAATTATATAGGCCTCAGTACAATCAGCAAGTTCATAAAGAAAACTTGGCAGTTTACCCTTGTTTATCCTAAAATCTGACAATAAAATATTTCCCCACATAAAAAATATTAAAGCTGCGTTTAGACTGCGCCGTCAAAAAAACGCCTTTAGTTGAATGCCTTTGCATTTGAGTTCAGACGTCCCCTGACTCGCATCTTGGACGCCATGGATGCACGGGAGTATAATATTTGACACGCATCCTGGGCTTCCTCTGTGGTCTGCGAGTGCCTTGTTTTCCCGGTCGAGAGTATGGCTTTAGTGTATTTATTACATAAAAATATATTACATAAAACCAGAGGCGATTGGCTTGGCAGTTGCGGCGTGTACATATTTATACTTTGCTAATGACACGGCAGATTTCTTGTTAAGGTGTCTGTGGCTCCCAGGTCTTTCTCTTTCTTCTCCCTCTTCCAGATAATAACATCACTACGCCACTGGATAGTCGTCCCTGATTGGTTGAAGAGGTGCGTCCAACGCCAAAAGTTCAGATTTTTCAACATCTGACACCTGAACACTCAAGAAGCACTGAGTCAATGCCAGATTCTTGACGCACTGACGCCTTTAAACACGCCGCAAAAACGCAGGACACTTTAGGCGCACGTCCACATAGACTTTGCATGTAAACTGGACGCCTTGAAGCCCCGGTCTGAACCATAGAACTATAATAAAATCTGGAAGATGAATCCAAGATGGCGCCATATTTTTATCAGTGGCCTGTGCTTAATGGTGCATGGGCCCAAAAAAATGTTTCACTTCATACAGTGTGGAGCATTTGGACCAATCAGTGAGAGCTGCTAGAGCGGAGCTAATGCGGACTAAATTTTACAAAGCTACATTTTAGGCGCTTTGAGGATTCAATGTTTTTTTTTTTTGTAAGATTATGTTGTGAAAATGGAAAAGGATCCCTACAAAAGCCGACACAGGCAGGTTGAATTCCCAAAAAATGCATCGCTCTTCTATGGGAGAATCTTTCTGGGCCCAAGCTCCTGGGAGCAGCCGGTAGACCGTCTCGAGCCGGAAAAAAGGGGGAACACCTTACCCAGTTTTTATTATAGATCCGTGATCTGAATGCAGCTTTACATGTACGTCATTTGTAAACTAGCAACTTTTACCGGTATCGCCTAGGTTGATTCAGAGATTTCTATTTCGCATCTTTAGTGAAGAATCAGCATACAAATGTGTTTTATTTCCCCTAATATTATCAAATTAAAAGGTGCACCATGCAGCTTTTCTGATTAAGCGTACGCCACCCTCTTGTCTTCATGGAGATGTTATTGCTTTGCCTGGAATGTTCCACAGCATGGCATTATCTTACATTATCATTATCTTTTATCTGTCATTGCATTGAGCATTGAGGGTTCTTACTATGAGCAGGATCACCTCTCCACAGATCTGACCTTCATGGAGATAGATTGGCCTTATTCCATACTGTTGAACATGCCAGGCAAAGCAAGAACATCTCCAGGTGGCGAACGCTCGTAAAAAAAAATTACGCAATGAACCTTAAACATTTTTATCTTCACGTATGTTGCATAAGTGTTGCCTTCCCGGTCCGTTGGTCCACTGTGGGCTCTACTGTCTATGCTCTTGAATGTGCGGCTACATTTAATTTATTTTATACTTATCTGTTGCTTTCACCAAATATGCCATTTTATTTTTGTTCTTTTCCTGTATTCATATTATTCAAAGTTAACGCCTTATTTAGCTCATATGTTTTGTATAGTGGCTCTGTTACTTGTCCATATATTGCTACATTTATGTCTTGTATTCGTAATGTGTGTTGTCTTAAAGAAGCTATACCGCAGAGACGCTAAGGTACCACCACTGTTCGAATCGAGTCAATCATTTCCCCTATAAGCACAAACAGTTAGAAATAGCTGTTCTTTTCAGTGCCTCGAAAACCTAGCCTATGTATTTTGTTTGTATTAGGCTTCAATTTAACTCTGCCAGTGTCAATGGGCCATTCGTGTAGGGAGTGTTGGCGTGTTCACGAAAAATGCAATGTCTTTTCAAATTTCTGTTTCGACTCAGGCTGATATTTTAAGGCAATCTTTCGGTCATGATATCGCTGAAGTATACTGTATTATTTTCAGTTGTCAATACCATATAGTATAGTGTAGTAAGTAAACACAGTAGTAGTGAAAAGTAATGATGTACAAAAGTAAAATACTATACCTAAGAACAATCTTTAGGTATCTGAAATAGCGTATTCTGTGTATTTTATTTCAATTTAGGTTTATTCTGTGGTGTTTGTGGTTTGTGTAAATTCAAATGCAACAAAGGCTACGTTCAGACTGCAGGGCTTAATGCTCAATTCGGATTTTTTGTGATATCTGATTTTTTTTTTTTTGCAAGGTCATTCACATTTTCAATTAAATGTGACTTGTATGTGATCTCCAGTGGGAACTTTAAACGCCCCAAAAGTGTCCCGCATCCGCATTGGAGGACACAACGACGTCACACGCAGCGAGTGTGCTCAGTGTTTAAGAAAGTCGCCTAAAGGCAGAGCTTGTCTCATGAAATATGGTCCAGTTCTTTGTAAAATGGACAGTTTACACGTCCACGGCCGCTTCATGTGTTTGACTCTTTAGCCTCCTTGTATTTGGCTCGCAGGCTCTTTATTATTTCGTTGACATTGGAGCCAAGACCGCGTGTAGCTGCGCTCGGCCATGTCCTTGGCAATCATTTCAAAAACCGCCCGGTTCCAATAAGAATACAGCGATCTCCCCAAATAGTTATACTTTATTTATTTAATGAGACAGGGACAGTGCACAATCTACATTAACCTTAACAGGAGAGATGCATTGTACCAGGTTGTAGCACCAGTGCTTATTTCCACCTGTTGTCCCTGGGCAGATTAATTGATTGAATTTAATTGACCTTAGCTATCAGCTGTTCTTCCTGGTGACCTATTTAGCATGCTTTGGGTACATTATTAATATAATTAATACAAAATATATATACATTAACTCTCTAACCTCGCTTTCCCTCCATTGTCCAGACTCTGAGCCTGCCCTGTAGGTGGGATGAATGTGACCTGACCGTTCAGACTGAAGTCGCATGTCAAAAGATTGAATATGTATCTGTTTTAGGAGCACATATCCAAGTGGCCTGGGTCGCATTTGAAAAAAATCGGATCTGTGTTGTTCAGACTGTCATTAAAAGTTCAGATACAGGTCACATAGGGGCCAAAAAATCGGATTTGGGTCACTTCAGCCTGCAGCCTGAACGTAGCCAAAATCTCCTCAAAATTTCTACACAAATCCAGTTTTCCCTGTCACTAAAAATTAAAACATTTTCTACATTGAACCATACAGTGTTATCATGACCAAAATGAATGTGATTTAAAATATTTGTCTGACTACATTGTAAAATATATCTCGCCTCACCGAAATGATTCAGAATAATAGAGTGGATTTAATAGACTGGATTATTTTTTTTTGTTTCACATTTAAATATTTAATTGGTTGCAAGTAATTTCGCGTTAATTTAGCCAATGGGTTAAGTGCAATTTTCTTAGCCTGTTGAGAAGTTAAAAACATTTTGAAACAAGTGAAATGTCAGTCTATTCAAATGAGTATTAATATTCTAAATTCAAGTCATTTTCAGCTTGTCCGTGTTTATTTTAACAGTGTACCTCATGAGGCCCTGAACTTGACTGCAGCTGATAATGGTCCATTGATAGAAGCTCTGAGGCAGTTTTCCAGTGCCACATACTCCCTCATTCCGTGTACGTTTTCTCTACATTTTCTGGCTTGTTGTGTTGGAGGTGGTGACCTGCACTGTCCAGTTGTGGTCACCGTACCTTTGACTCCCAGTGTGGTCCATGTTTTCTGCAGTGTGTGACAGCAGATGTTCTGGAGATGTTCTGATGGTCACCTGGACATGGTGTAAACTCATTCATGATGTATTTATTGTACAGCGGTTGTCTCACAGTGTTGTCCTGACTGATAAAGGCTGGCTTTGTTACTCCTCAAGACAAACGCATTTGGTTCACCCCGACTCTGTGTCTTATTTCTCTCACAAACCGCACGTCATCTTCTTAAAATTGTGCTGTGTAACTTTTCTGGTTGAAGATCCACCACCTGCTTGTCTCCACGGAAATGTTATTGGTTTGTCTAGAACAGGGGTCTCCAACCTATTTCCTCCTGTGAACTACTTGTACAAAACAAAAATGCCAGAGAGTTACTAATTTTAGCTGCCGTAAGAAATTGAGATAATTATAAGAGCCTGGTCTTCAAAATTATACATTTCTAAGGTTAATTGGCATGTAGTTAATCAAATTTTTGTTATTCAGCATAATGGTATAATTCTGAAATCCTTGGCGAGCTACCTGGAAGGAGGTGGAGAGCTACTAGTACCTCCCGAGCTACAGGTTGGAGACACATGGTCTAGAATGTTCCACAGTATAGATAAAATCCAGCTATCACAAAGAAGACACACTACGCTACATTACAATTCAGATCTGTAGGGAATCACCCCCTATTCAGGAAGGAATTAAGGTATTTTTGAGCAATAGAAACGTAATGTAATGAATAAATGCTAGCTGGATATGTTTAAAGGCATGCCATGGAACATTTCAGGCAAATAGTAACATCTCCATGGAGACGTAGCGGACCCTCCACCAGAAAAGTTAAGCAGTACACCTTACAACCTCAACTACAACAATTAATGGAACAGTAAGTAGCATGCACGTTTTAGAGATAAAAAAGTAACTACAGTCGCAGTTGGACAGGCCTCGTGTGGAAGCTCAGAACCTCCAAAATTCCCTCACTGAGCTGCAGAGGCCGCACTAGCACTAGCACTGACATGAATCATTTAGATCACAGAGAAGCGTTTTAGGTTAAAACACACTCTATTTCAAGTGTTGAAACTGGCAACCCAAATGAGAGACTCAAGAGAGGCTCATTCTGCTTTTTGTTTAAATATTTTGTGAACCAAAACACTAAATTATCTCATCAGGACCAATGTTTTTGGCACGAAGAAAAAATCTGCATTACAGTTATACAGTCAGTAAAAGTTATATTTGATATTAAGATGTTTATCTCATATATAGGGAAACAGTTTGGTCAATATGTACCGTAATTTCTGGACTATTGAGCACACCTGAACATAAGCTGCATCAACTACATTTTAAACGAAAAAATCTGTGCATATATGGGCCGCACCTGTCTATAAGCCGCAGATGTCCACGTCTTCAAAAACGTTTTCAAGTTCGGGCCATCTGCTTTTATTGCTTCTGAAAGTTTTTGTTGCCTTTTGGCACTGAGTGATGCTGCCGCATCATTGTATAAGAAGCAGGGTTCTGAGTATGAAAAAAAAGCAGCGGCTTATAGTCGGGAAATGACCGTAATTTAAGATCAAAATTTTATACAGTTTTTTTTTTTCAATCAGCATAGCTAAGTTACAAGCAGCACTCTCGCCAATGCTCTCATCTCACAACAGTTGTTACTGGGTTTTATTTCAGGGAAGCCTTGTGGCCTGTCTTTGTTAGTGTAGACCAGGGGTGTCAAACTCATTTTGGTCCGGGGGCCATATCAGAAAACTCATGGCATATATACCCCAAAAATAGCAATAAGTTCAAATATTTGTGCAGAGAAACACAAATTTATTACAGAAATCTTTTTTAAATTGATGAACTCTTTCTTTTACAAAATATTAAAATATTATGAACAAGATGAAACTTTACGAAAAATTTAAATTTTTCTTGGAAAATCCTGCACTCTGTGTCCACTTTTCTCATTTTTTGACATTTTGCTGATGAGGGTGTCACGGTCAAAACAGTCAAAATGATCGTCCTTTAAGAGCGTTTGGAAAAGTGCTGTTCTGGTGCTGCTCTGGTGGGAGGGGCCATGCACAGAGACTAAGCGGCACAGACGTTACCAAACATTACCATTATTTTAATAGAAAATATAATTAAAATATTTACAAGGGCCAAATTAAAGATATTGGAGGGCCGTATCTGGCCCCCGAGCCGTATGTTTGACACCTCTGCTGTAGAGTTTGCATGTTCACGTTTCTTTGGATTCTCCAATCAGCTCTATTCATGCTTACGTCACAAACCAGGAAGACAGTTGGAAACATGCAATGACAAGCTCCGGTCAAAATAACTGGATAGGGTGTTGCTGCTTGTAGCTGCCTCCAGTTGACATCATGTTCATACACTGGAACTTCAGCGAAAAAAATCCTCTGAGCTCTGTGCCATTGAGCTCGTCCCATTGACTTGAATGGGCGCCCATTTTGAAACCCCGGGGGTTCCGGTGGATTTACAGACACTGGGTTTGCTGACTGACTGGGATAAAACCCACTGAAGTTACACTGAAATATAAGTAAGAAGTAAACTGAGGACTGCATATGTATGTGCTGTTTGGAATCATCTTGAATTTGGCGTCCTCATCTCTTCTAATCACATGTACCCAGTGTGCACAGAGTTGTGTGTCAGTGGGGAAATGATGAAAACTAAGGTATGGTTGTAATTGTTGATTGGTCGAACACAATGGACATGGAGATCAAGAAAACTGGGCCATTTTCTAATTTTTCAGGGATTTGTCAGACTTACTACCGTGAACAAAGCCCACCGGAATTTGTCATCACGTTTCCAAACGTCTGCCGGGTTTGTGACGTAAGTGTGAATAAAGCCTCTTCTATCCTAAAATATCTAAAATTGTTAAAGCTCTGGAAATGAGTCTGTGACCGGTTATCAGAGTCATTGGTGGATGAGATAAATGCAGGGTACACATTTTCTTACAGGAATAATAATGTGAACAATAAACATGATTAACATGGTTTCAAATGGCTTTTACAGAACATACCTGCACATTAACTCAGAAGTGTAGCTGGTTGCAATTGGAATGGCAAAAAAAAGAAAAAGGTTTGCCCAAGTAAAGGGTAACTAAAGGAATCAGCTTGGATGAATTACTTATATCTCTGCTTTGCTGGAAATACTAAGAAATAGGAAAAAAAAAAAAAAAAGATAAAGAAAAATGATATCATGATTCACATCTAGTCCTTTTTGTCTTCGTGTCTGGTCTGTCTCAATCTGCTTGTGATTGTGTGCACCATGGTGATGACAGTATGACACAAACAGAGCCTGGATCACATGTTACAGTGGGACAGGAGTCTTTTAAAGTTTGGGCAGTTGCTGGTTTAACACTGATCTCTTTTGTCTGAGCCTTGCACAAACTCCTCTGATTTCCACGCACCGCTTGGTTTTTTTTTTTTCTAGTTTTGATCAGTTTGATAAGAACAGTCACAAAGGGAATAGTTTAGAGGAGACATTTTAAGCTGTATGAAGGCTTCCTCAAAGTTGACATGATCCAGAGGAGTTTGGACTTGGCTGTCACTGCCTCTGTTTCCTCTGTTCACCAGCACAGACCTCACACATCTTCCTCCCAAGAAAAGTATTTAATAATGTTCCTTCTGCATTTTTTATTTTTGTGTTTTATACCTCTAGAACAGGGGTGGGCAAACTACGGCCCGGGGGTCATTTGCGGCCCTTTAATCTTCCTAATCTGGCTCGCCGAACTTGATAATATCCAGTGTATTTCAAAGTATTTTCAATAGGCAAGGCAAGGCAAGTTTATTTGTATAGCACAATTCGTACACAAAGTAATTCAAAGTGCTTTACAGAATAAGAAATACATTAAAATCATAATAAAAACAAATCAAAACATAAATAATCATGAATATTAAAATTAAAAAAGAGAGACATAAATTGGAGAGAAGAGTGCGGAATGAAAACCTTTCAGTTATTTGCACAGTTAAACAGAAATGTTTTGAGCCTGGATTTAAACAGCGTCACAGAAGAGTCTGTCTCACATGTTCAGACTGTTCCAGGTTTTAGCTGCATGAACCTGAAACGCTGACTCCCCTTGTTTAGTCGTGACTCTGGGCACCAGCAGGAGGCTGGTCCCTGAGCTCCTCAGAGTGCGAGATGGTTCATATGACACTAACATGTCACAGATGGACTTTGGTGCTCGGCCATGGAGAGACTTGTACAAAGCAGAGCTGCTTTAAAGTCTATTCTCTGAGGCACAGGAAGCCAGTGCAGAGACCTGAGCACAGGACTTATGTGCTCGTACTTCCTAGTTCGAGTCAGGACCCGAGCTGCAGCGTTCTGGATGTTCTGCAGCGTCTCACAGCTCGTTTGGAGAGACCAGTGAGCAGAACATTACAGTATCTAACCTACTGGAGACAAACGCATGGATAAGTTTCTCCAAGTCTGATTTAGACAGTAAACCTTTGATTTTTGCTATGTTTTTTAGATGGTAAAAGGCTGCAGATGTTATTGATTTGATTTGGCTGTTAAAGTTTAAGTCTGAGTCCATTATTACCCCTAGATTTCTTGCCTGATTTGAAGGTTTTAGAGAGAGAGACTGGAGGTGACTGCTGACACTGTCCCTTTGTTAAATAGTAAATATCGTGGGACCTGAAAGAGAGATATTTTGTTATAATGCTTTGTAATGATTTTCAGTTATGGGATATTTCAATAACATGGGATATTTTCTACCTATCCCATGTTATTTTTTTCTCTTATGAGGTGGATTACCAAAAAACTCCATCCATCTGCTCCTGGTCCGGCCCTTCCATCAAATTTTAAAACCCTTTGTGGCCCTTGAGTCAAAAAGTTTGCCCACCCCTGGTCCAGAACAAGTTTTAAGTGATCACATCTACTGTAATATTTGAAGGAAATTGAGATACATCTGGAAACTCTTGCCTGGGATCCAGAAAACACACTTCTCCAATACATGCATTCTGAATTTCATACTTCCGGTCATCGTGCAATGCATACTGGGAAGGATGCTCCGAAAAAGTGAGCATCAAATCACCACGTTTTATTTCCCAGTGGGATGAGTCTATTGTCAAAGCCGATCTTTTCAAGGCTTTTGAACCATGTCACTTTTGTTTCTGGTTCTGATATTGTCATTTTTTTGTTCGGACATCGTAATTGTGTGGTTGTAGGATGTCCTAACAGCGGAAAAACGGCTTTGGAAGTT